ATCGATTGACCAATACTAAAATTTAATCGAAGGACATGACCTTTGCAAAAAAAGGGTCATGCTACTGAACCTGCTATGATGCATATGAAATGCAATGGCCTTACTTGGGGCCATAAGACTGATCAAAACACTTGTCCCAACATGCAATACAAATAATATACAACATTCCCAAAATCAACAACATACATATAAAAAGAGTCTCGTTCCTCCAATCCACTACCTAGTCCCGTAATCCTTTACAAAGAGTGCACTTTAATTACATCAAGTTATAGTCAATGAAATATAGCTGAAATTAAACGTCCATAACTTACAATATTATACAAATTATACTAAAGTTTTACAAAGGAACAAGATTCCATACACAAAAGTCAACAAAATAAAGTCCAACCCCACCTAAACCTGTGGTGGATCGTCGTCCACCACTTCTTTCCCATGTCCTAAAAAATATTAAAGTAAGGGCTGAGTACAACGACTCAGTAGGAGGTGTCTAAGACACACCTCTTAATCACCCCATAAATCCACATAAAATATAGGTAAAAAGTAAACAAGATCATGCCATAGGGAAAAATGAAGTAACAACAACAACAACAAGCATATATAAATGTCATCTAACTACAATATGCGATGTATGCCAATGGAGTGCAATGCCATGCCAATGTCGCTCCCTATTTCCAAAACAATTATGTTTCACCGTTCCAAATAATTAATGCAATCCGACCCATGTAACTCATGGCGTCACGAGAGGAGGATTGGCTAACTATCCCCGACCACTTGGTAACTCCAAGGCGTCGTTTAGGGCCTAGGTAGCTCAACCATGCTAAAGTTTCTCCCTAGTCCTTTCTAGACCACATTAACGCCACGGACCACTAGGCAACTCCTAAATGCCCTGGTTTTCGTAAACCATTTTAAGAACATTTCCCAAAAATAATTTCATTTGTTTTTAAAATAACTTTTCCCCTTTTTCTTCGCAATGAAATGCATGAATGCCTCATGCCATACTAAACCATGAAAATACATAATTTTTCATAAGTTGCATTCAACCACAACAATGTCTAAACAACATGCTTTCAAGAAAAAATTTCAGGGAATTATCTCACGACTTAACAAAATGGATTTGAACTGGATTTAACCCTTACAGATGGGTTTAATGGACTTGGGAAGATCCCAGAATGCATAATATACCTATATATGCTAAGGAGGTGGATAGTTTGGAAATTAAATAACCAATATGTTGTTTAGATTGGATGAAAGGATTAATTTAGTTGCTTTAACAATTGAAATTAATGTTTAAACGGTTTTAAACAATGTTTATGAAACTTTATATTGTTTATATGAGATGTAGGTTAATTACTTGGAAGGTAAGTTAGCTACATGTTATTGAAACTATTGTATTGCTTAAATAAATACAATATTTATTTGTATGATGTGTATCATATTATCTCTGGATTAATTGATGTATTATTACTCTGTTGCATCATTTATTGGACTGAATGGTTTAATGCACCGGTATAGGACGGTGACATTTTAGGGAAGGTGGCATTTTAGGGATGGATTAACCAAAGAATTTAAGTCCTACCTATTTATTTATAAGGGAATGGATTAACCAAAGAAGTTAAAGTCCTCCTTATTCATGTCAGGCCATTGTATCAAATGAATAACATTTGCTTATACGAATTTTTATATGGAGCTTGAGTCTCAGGATCATGGTTAGGGTGTGTATATCACCAAGGATGTGTAGCTAGATATAGTGGAGTTGTGTACCCTGGTAGGTCTAGGTATTCATGCCCACTATATGTGCATTTTTGTATGTTGCCTACTATTTAGGTTGAGACAACCCTATAATCTAATGAGGTTCCTTTAGTGTGTGTGTGTGTGTGTGTGTGTGTGTATATATATATATATGGACTACTTAGCTATTGTTGAGTTGAATAGGGTGTATATGTGATCGGGTCTCTACTTGGATTGTAGTAGAGTAGAACTTGTTCATGAGCCTAACCCACTGTTATTTTTCAGGTGTTCAACAGTTCAAGTCTTAGAGCTTGATCGTGCTGAGCAGAGACAGTCATCATCACTCTACTCACCTGATGTAGGGTTTTATTTATGATATCTTCTTTTCAGTTTTATTTTCAGTTAGGATATTATTAGGGGTCTACTAGATGGATTCTTGAGTTGTAATGATATCGGAGTTTTGGATATTATTCATTTGGAGGATTATTTATTATTTAACTTAAGGATTTATTATTTAGTTTCTCTTTCCACTCTTCTATTTATTCTTAGTTACTTATCTTTTGTATTCAATGCTGCTTGTTTATTACTTAATTGTTTGATATCCCTCGAGTTTAGGCTTGGGCCTGTTCAACCCATGTCTTGGGTCCGAGGGGTATCACAATTGGTATCAGAGCACTCTAGGTTCAAGGGTCTCTAGGATTTTTTCGTATAAGACTTCTGCGTAGCGTATTCTTTTATTTATAGCCTAAGTTTAGGATTTATTGTATTCATTTACGGTCCATTTAAATCATACTGATGTCTATCTTTCTATGTTAACAGAATGGTTAACGCTAGAAGAAAACGGGACAATCAGAAAAACAGGCAGCGAGTGGCACGTAGGCAGCAGGATTTCCTACGGCGTCAGAAAATTACAGAAAAACAGCAACTGCTTAGGTTTCAGGAGGAAGATGGTCAGTTGCACATTGAGCAGGAGGAAGTACAGCCGAATCAGGAATCTCAAGATCAGGGCTACACTCAAGGCTGGGATCTAGAGTATCCTCCTCATGTGAATGACCTCATTGCTCGAGTTATAGAAGTAGGTATAGCAGCTGCACTTTGGAATCAGCCACATTTTCAGCCGACACCTATACCAGCACCAGTAGTTCAAACTGATCCTTAGGAGAAAGCTAGGAGTTCTTTCACAAAGAGGAGTCCACCTGAATTCTTAGGCTCCACCGATGCGAAAGCAGCTCACCAGTAGAAGAAGGACATCGAGCAATATCTTCGCATGGTTCAGTGCACAGAGGTTCAGAAGCAGATGCTTGCTACCTTCAAGCATGTCGGAGATGCACTTCCGCGGTAGGAGTCAGTTACTTCCGCAGAGGAAAGGACTTCATTGACTTATAATCAGTTCAGTGCTCGCTTCGATGAGAAGTACTTTCCTTATACAGTCAGGACAGTTATGAAGACAAAGTTCCTTAATCTAAAGCAGGGGAGCATGACAGTGGCAAAGTATAAGCCGCAGTTCACACGCTTATCTCTTTTTGCAGAATAGGTGGATACCGAGGAGAAGAAACGTAATAGCTTCATTAAAGGACTTATGTGGTCTATTAAACGATCTATTACAGGTAGTCTAGCCTACACTACTTATGCTCAGGTGGTAAATGCCGCTCTACAGCAGTATCAGTTGACTGTGGACTTTAGACAGGCTAGGAGTGAGAAGCGGGGTGACAGAGACTCTGCTAATTGATAAGTGCTTAAATGTTGCACATTTCAGCACCTAAGTTAGGGTATTTCAGTCTTTGCATCTATCTTAATTTCATGTTTTAGTCCTAATTTATGTTTATGTGTATTTCAGGGTAATAAAGTTAAAATGAGATAATTTTGGTTCACTAAAACCTTTTTGGAGTCAAGCAGAGATATTCAAAAAAAACTCAGAAAAGGGCAAAAAGGAGGTCGCAGCCCATTGCTCGTATAGTGTGTTTATTCTTCAAAAGCGGTCAATCTCAGTTCTTTGATGATGTTTCCAAAGATGAAGAAGCAAACCAATAAGCTCGGGGCCAAAATGGAGCTAAATAGGGCTTAAAGGAAATTTCCAACTCTTGGGGGATCGATCCCCCAGGACTTGGCAACATTATAGGATTTTCTTATTGTTTAGGCTTATTTTGTGAACTATTGGGCTTTAATAGGGTTATTACTTATGTCCCAGTGAGCCCTTAGTTTAGAGTTAGTTTTTCATTAGTTTAGAGAGAGTTATTATTATTATTATTAAGTTTTATTATTTTTTGTACGGTGATATTACGTTCTCTCTGGGGAAAAAGAAAAAGCTAGGGTTTGAAGAACTTTTTACAGAGGCTTTGTTTACAATTGAAGGAAGAAGAAGAAGGAGCCAAAAGATGGAGATGGAGCTTGTTGACACCATAATCATCTTCTCTATAAGCTAGTTCTTCACTTAGGGCTTGGATGAGCCCTAAGTTCATGTAACCTAAACCTTTGTTTTTCTTTTCTTGGGGAATTATTGAGTTGTAATTAAATATTTGGCCTTGTGATTTCTTTATATATACATGCTTGATTTGACAAATTAGGGCTTGTATTGATAAATTCTTCCATTGAAATCTCTAGTTGATTGTATGTCTATGTATGATTAATTAGGGATTTTACTCTTCATTAGTTGATTGAAAATTAATTCTTCCATTGATTCTATATGAAAATTGCATATCTATGTGTGATTGATTTAGAATTATACTCTACACTTGATACTTCTTTTAGTTGTGTTTAGTGATGGCCATAGCATAATACTTAGTTGATACAATTGTCAATTAATTTGATGGAATAAAGCTTAATCTTGATGGGTTGTTCTACAAATTAGCTTATTGTCATTAGTTAATTGTAGTAAAGTACGCAATTTGTGCTTGATTATATTAATCCATACTTCTAATTACAATTAGTATTATCCTCTTGATTGATGTATGCTCTTATCGGATACATTTGTGAATGTGTATGGTGGGTTATAACGTAGTCTTGAATGGGTTTTACACTTTAGTTTAATTGTCATTAGGTAAACAATTCATTCTTGATGTTGATAATCTATGCTTACAATTGTGATTTGTAATTATAGATGTGGTCACATTATCATCACATCCGTCGCATCAAACACAACACAAAGCACCACATCAAACACAACACACACTATAGAAAGCCAAGGGTTTCCAGAACGACGACGAGTCATAGTTGCTGTGGAAATCGTCGGGCATAATTGGTAGCGAGCGAGGGTGCCGCTTGGAGAAGGAGGGCTACGTCACAACGGAGGCTTGGGCCAATGAAGGACTCGACGGTTCTGTGTGGTTAATGAAGGCATTGTTAGGGTTTTCTTGGAGAAGAGAGTAAGGAGGGATGGGAGAGAAGGAGAGAGCGGCGGCGTCATAGGCTCGAGCCGCGTCCTCGGTGGAGTCAAAGGTGCTGAGCCAAACCTTAGTTTTCTTCCTGGGGCCTCTGGTCTCCGCCGAAAATCTGCCCCACGTTATCTTTCTGACATTGCGAAACCTGATCTCTTTCACAGCAGCTGCTGGTCCAGATCCGTTGGTGTCTACGGTTGCCGCTACCATCGCCGCAATTACCCTGGCTCTACGCATAGTCGAAGATGGCCTATTGACACTTTAATCGGATGTTTTTCCTGCTTTGTATTGCTTTTTTTTTTTTTTCGTCTCCGTCACGAATTGGTATTGCTTGCACTAAGCCGATAATCAATCCTCTGCTATGGAGAAAAGGAGAGACTTTTAAGGTTTTAAAGAGAGAAAATTAGAAAGGGGAAGAAATACCAGGCAAAGGTTAGATAGAGAATGTAAAACGAGGGTTATTTTGGTCTTTCATAATTTTGTTTACAGGGTTATATTAGTAATTTATAGTTTTTATGTATTTGTTGACCAAGTCAAAGGTTAAAATGATCATTTTCTCGGGTAGAGGGGGTGTGTATGTAAACTTTTGAAACGTCAGGGGGTGTTAATGTAAACTAGTGCCGTTGACCGTCCGCTGAGTGGTGTTGACCCAAATCTCAGGGGTGTGAGTGCAAATTACCCTAAAAAAATAGAGAAGGAAATATATAATATTAAAAAAATTATTTATAAATTTATTTATTTAGAGAAGGAAACATATAATATTAAAAATTGATTTATTTAGTTAATAATAATATAATAATTGGAAAGGAAATTCAGTTATAGAAAATTTATTTATTTACTTAATAATAATATTTTAGTAGTTGGAAAGGAAATATAATTAGAATGCAGAAGTTCAATATCCCTTCTGTCACAGCTTCCAAGATGACCTATGTTGGGACGGACTATGAAGGGAGTAATATAGTATACTGTAACAAGGGTCATTTGTCCCACATCAGAATCGGATGGGAAAGTGATTGGGTATCAATGGGTGAGTATACAGTATTACCCAATAGTTCGAACTTCTGGGTAAATGGGTAAGTGGCCACTCATTACAGTTGGTATCAGAGTCAGACCCAATCCTTAATCCTGTATCATGCCAAGCGCCCCGCCCGGAAGGCGTTCGGGTTAGCATCCCGGGTAGGCAGGGTGGCCCGAACCGCAACGAGAGCGTTACAAGTTTATGTGAGAGAGAATATAACAAGGGTCATTTGTCCTACATCGGAATCGGATAGGAAAGTGATCGAGTATAAATGGGTGGGTATGCAACACTAACCAATAGTTTGGGTAAGCGCTCACCCGTTACATATGTATTTATATATTATTGGAGAGGACTTGATTGACAATTTATAAAAAGAATGTCCCGATTCCGTAATTCGAAAGTATATTCCTCTTCGGACTCGTCTTCCCCAAACCCTCGTCTATATATATATACACACTCTCTGTCTAGCCTTTACCAAAACCTCTCTCGCTCTCACACCGTTACGATCGTCTTTGCAGGAGAGATAGCTATCGAGCAATAATGTTGGTCTACCAAGACTTGCTCACTGGTATGTGTATGTATGTGTGTGTGTATATATATATAATTGTGTTCATATTTTTTTTTTTTTGTGTTTAAATCTTTTCATTCAATATACTATGTTTGTGATTTGCTGATTTATCTACTTCCCCTAGTTAGGGGAATTGAAATCTCCCGATTCGATTACGTGGTTATTGGTTTCGTTGTGTTGTGATCTGAATCTGTATACTATAAAAAAGTAAACTTTTGATGTTTAATTTATGTTATTTGAATCTTATTTGAAACTTTTATTGGTTATAAGTTCAAATCTGTCGATGGCTGTGCTTGAATTGTTTAGAAAAGGATCCAACTCAACTTTATGTTATTTGAATCTTATTTGAAACTTTTATTGGTTTTAAGTTCAAATCTGTCGATGGGATGGGTGTGCTTGAATTGTTTAGAAAAGGATTCAACTCAACTTAATCAAAACTTTTATTTAACTATTTAGGTCATTCCGTCCCAATCGAGTTTATTTTAACTTCCCAACGCATGTTAATTGCTCTTCCCTTTCAAACGCATCTCTTTCTCGTTGGTGGGACATTACTGACTAATTTAATTGTATAGGCCTTAGATTTTCTTCCTGAGCATTGATGTTGAACTCAATAATGTGATTTTTATTTATAAAAAACCCAACTACCTGGAAAAGAAACCAAAAAAAGAAAAAAAGAAAGTAAAGGAAAGAAAGGTATCCAGTATCCTGTTGCTAAGTTAGATGTAGGATTCGTTTTGTGCATTCTGTCAAGAGATCCTATTTTTCCATTTACAATGTTTGTAATGATAAATAATGTATTGAGGACGATGATGATACTGAGATCTGGAGAGAATTGGTTTTCTCCTTTAAGTAAGGGGATTGATACACCCCTGGTTATCATATGAATTTAAAAAAAAAAAAAATATGAGGCTGATAAACAACCCTGAAAATAGGCCCACTCAGGACTTGATTTGCAATTTGTGAAAATACTGCCTTGCTTTTGTAGTCCAAAACTCTCTTCTTCTTCTGATTCTTCTTTCCTAAACCATGCCTACAGTTTCTCTTAGTCTAGCTCCATCCATATATTCTCTTGCTCTCTCACTGTTTGTGACCTTCTTCTGATCCTATTAGAGCATTCTAAGAGAGAACTAGCAATTTTTTTTTTTTTTGTGTATCATTACTTGCATTCTCATTTTAGGGCACAATGCATACACATTTTAATTCATGAAAATATATTTTGAATGCATGGAATTGTTTTTAAAATAAATTTATTTATTTAGGAAACTTTTAAATAAATTGTATTTCTTGATCGATGCATTGGTCGATAAATTTTTTCCAGAGTTTATCGAAGTCCAAAATGCTTCAATACGAGATTCGATCGATTGAAGCAGTGACAATGGGGTTCTATTGGTATCACGATCGATGGATGAGTTACTCAGGATGCTCCGTGTGATAATATTTATGAAAAATCTATTAAATTAGAATTGTTGAAGGTTTAGATTATCTATTCTGATTACAACTAAGAAACCTTAATTCCTTTGGACTTAAAACACTATATAAACACCTTTAAGCTCTCATCACATACTCACATATAGAGAGATCTTTTTTAACATTCTTGAGAGAACATATATACTTTTAGAGAGCGTATTTTACTTTTCATCATCAACATCTTGCATTAGATGGTGAGTTGTCATTATCATAATCCTTGTTCCACACCGAAGTATTTCTGGACAACAAACACACAACCTTGATGACTAGTCGAGAGGATCAAAGTCCTTGTTGGGAAAGCGGATGGTGTGAGGAGCTGATTTAGTGATGGAGCAAGTTGTGTGCTTCGAGATAGTGTGTGAGTTTGGTTGATCAGTCAGTGTCGAGGTAACTAGTGATTCTAGGGTTTGGAAATTGCTAAACTAGTCTAAATCTATTTCTCGTACTAGGTTTGATCCGTCTGGACTAAGTCTCGTGGTTTTCTCTGTTTAGGGTTTTCATGTATAAATTTTGTGATCATGTGGGGTTGCTTGGTTTATTTTTATTTGCTCACTATAAATAATTGATTCATAGCGTTGCATTCTACACATAATTGCGATAATTGTAAATTCAGTTTTGTTAGTTAAAATTGGGCAAGATCTATTAACCCCACTTTATAAATATATTTTGGACTTTGCACCAACTCTAGTACAAGAGCCTTGGTTCCAGTCCCATAATATTTTTTATCATATATAAATGTATTTGTGTATTTGTATTGTTAAATCATTGTGTTTTAAATCTACTTCATTGATTTATGTGACTGAGTTATTCATATACAGAGCTCCCCTTTTGTTATTATAATCTATTTATTTCTTATAATTAAAATCTGTCTATGGGTTAGATTGATTTGTTTAGAAAGGTTATTCACTCAACTTATTGAAGACTTGTCTCTAGAGAGACTACTATTTGGGGTCATCCTGCTTCATCTAAGGCGATGACTTCAGACACACTATCATATTTCTCTTTATTAGTCTTAACCAATATTAATTGCCCTTCCTTTGGCATTACCCTTGATATGAACCAGATTGCTCTTTTTCACTGGTGCAGTTATGATTTTCCCTGAAAATGGCTGAACCATCTTAACTGTAGAGGCTTGAAATATTTGCTTTTTGTGCATTGATACCATACTCAGGCTGTAATTTGATTTATATTAATCCTCAACTATCAAAAATAAATAAATAAATAAACAATAAGGCTTGGTATTCATGACTAGTTTTTTTGTGTCAAGTTGCTGGGGTAGATTTGGGATTCTTTTTTGTATATTCAGCCGAGATATTATATGAACTTCCTTTTCTTTTGACTGATGCTTGGATTGCTATTTCTGCCTTGCGAAATGTATCACTGATGATGATGATAGTGATGTCGAGATATTGAGAGACTGCGTCTTCTCCTTAAAACAGGGGACTGGTACACCCCTGATTTGCCAAGTCTGCCTGGTATCAGCTTGAATTTTGATTTGGCAAGATACAGTGTTGTTCCAAATTAACCTGTTGCTTGGTTTCAGCAAATCACTGTGCACGTATTTGTCTCTCTTTATGACTACAATTTATTATCGAAACCAAGTTTTGTTTAAAGTAAACGTTTAGCAATTAAATCCCTTAATTATGTTTTAATTACTTTTTATAAGTAATTATGCTGTTTTCTGAAACATTGTCATTCATTAATATCAGGTGATGAGCTTCTCTCGGATTCATTTCCGTACAAGGAAATCCATAATGGGGTACTCTGGGAAGTTGAGGGAAAGGTTAGCATTGTTTTCATTACTTTTTTATTTCTGAATAATGATATTATTTTCCATCACATTTAGTCCTGCAAAAGAAATTCCTTGGGCAATACAATTGCATTCTGTTTTCATTTTTTATGTTAATTAGCATTGGGATAAGTCATTAGATATAAATATTAAATGACCATGCCACCATGGCGATAACTGACATTGTAATTATTGGCCAACTGCAGTGGGTTGCTCAAGGAGCAGTTGATGTAGATATTGGTGCAAACCCTTCTGCTGAAGGTGCTGATGAAGATGAGGGTGTAGATGACCAAGTTGTCAAGGTGGTTGATATTGTTGACACATTTAGGCTCCAGGTTAGTTGTTCCCATTACTTGCAATAGTTGTAAAATATTGGAAATTTGAAGAAACAGAGTTTTAACATGGGACCATGTGATGATACTTGCAGGAACAACCTGCTTTTGACAAGAAGCAGTTTGTTGCATACATCAAGAAGTATATCAAGGCATTGACACCCAAGCTGGATGGGGAGCAGCAAGAGCAATTTAAGAAGAACATTGAGGGGGCAACCAAGTTCTTGCTCTCAAAGCTCAGCGACCTCCAATTGTAAGTGCCTGGTAGCTAATTTTTCCTACGGTTCACAAACCATCACCTTTTTCTTTCATCTCTAATGTTTGTTACACTTTGTATGTTATGGAATAACAACATTTTTGTGGCAACTTACATTGAACTCGCATTATGTTTTACAGTTTTGTTGGGGAGAGCATGCATGATGACAGCACATTGGTGTTCGCTTACTACAAAGATGGTGCCACTGACCCAACATTTTTGTACTTTGCGCATGGCTTGAAGGAGGTCAAGTGTTAAAATGATAGCTGGGCTTCAGAGTGGTGCTTGTTGTAATTTTAGCTCTTATTATTGCATTTATATTTGACTTTGTGATTGTGCAACTCCGTAGTTCTGCCTATTTTTGGATGTTGATTTTGGATTAATATTTAATTCAAGAGCTGTTCTATTTAATTTAATTTCTTGGTTGAGTGGAGAAATGAACTCATTATATATGTCATATTTATTCTTTTTGTGATATGTGTTGGCATTCATCAATGTTCTCACTTGATAGTGGAATAGCAGTGTGCATGAGAACCCCAAGAAATATAAACCTAGTTTTCGAATGAACTGTGTTCCCGCTCGTTAATTTGAATTTTTTTGCAAATTTTCAGAATTATGTGATGTTTAAATTGCTGTAGAATTAATTGATTGATCTTTTGACTCTGTTCCCGCTCGTTAGGTTGAAATTTCAAGCCTGTATTGCATTTCTTAGTGCATTATTTCAGTTGTTTTTTTTTTAGTTTTCTGTGATTTTTAAGCAGTCATCTGCAATACTTTTTTCTTTTTTTACTGCTAATTTTCAGTTTGGGAAGGACTTCTAGTCTTCCCGGGTGATGTCACCTTAGACCATTTCTAAATAGGTGGTGCCGACTTTGCTATACCCTCGTTACAGTTGGACCACAATGGATCTGATACTAAGAAGTAATATAAAAAGAAAAAAATGAGAGAATTGTGTAAAAAGTTTGAATCATATAAAAAGAAAAAAATGAGAGAATTGTGTAAAAGGTTTGAATCATATCACAAGAAATTAAATTTAAATCAAATTACAGCATCTGCTAATGTGTAAATCATTTCATAAATAGTGACTATCATATTATGTACATATATATATATATATATATTTCCTAAGTACACACATATGTGTATATAATATAAGAGCTGTTAGACCTAAATGTTAAAGTATGCATACAATTTTCACTGCTCTTGTGAAGATTTCACCGATCTTCTAGAGTATTGTTGCAAATAGAAACAAAAATGATTTCAATATTGCTTACGAAGAGAGAAATTTTGTAATAATGGAAGTTTTTGTTTATATATTTCTTTGATTACTTTGAATGTCTCCCCATTTCATGATTGTGAACCTCTTATTTTGTGGGTGGAGAGGTGGGTGAATGGCTCTATCTCGTTTCGGTTTATATATTGAATTGATAATAATATTTAGCATATTATAATTTAATTACTAAAATATCAATTACATTCCAAGACTAATCTTATTTAATTACTATATATAATTGAATTTCGCATCATTTGTTATAGAGAGAGAGAGAGAGAGAAAAAAAAAAAAAAACCAACAACTAATGGGCTTATAGAATAAGCATGTAAGTAGTTGATGGAGTGTTACATGTTTGCCTAAGTGATCACTCATAACAACTTATTATTGAGTTAAATCCAAAATTTATCTGAAATGAACCCATGGTTGTGAAAACAATACTTGAACTCAAAATTATGCAACTCTTTTCACTGATTTAAGAGGGGTTTTGTTGAGTGCATCATAAGAAGCTTTCATTGTGATATGTGACCTCTAACCAATTGATCACATGCAAACCCTAAAAAGCTACTTGAACCTAATATATAGTCCCCTTCCTGATGTAACATATCAATTTTTGCCAATTTTTTTTATTATCATTAATGATCACACAGCTGTGGTGTACTCATAGCAAGCGTGTGATATGAGTCAATAAGGGTACGTTTGGATAGAGTAGATTTAGAGGATAGGGAGATAAAAGAAAAAAAAAAAGATAGTGAGAGTGTGTTTGATTGATTAAAAATGAGATAAACCAAAGGATAGGGAGGGATATCTATCTTTCCTCGTCTCTTGTTTCCTATCTTTTCATAAATGAGAAAATAGGGAGAGAAATGATATTGTTTAACTTTTAAATAGTATTTTCATAATTCTGAAACTACTCTCAACAATTAAAAAGAGGAAATTATTATTTCACTCATATCTCGTTTATTTAAAAGGACATGATAATAATTTAGTTGTTATCATTTCTCTTATTTTCTCTCCTCTATCATATCCAAACAAGAATACTATCTTTTCTTTTCTATCTATCCAAACATAAATAAAAATTATTATTATCATTTATTTTCATTTCTTTTCTTTTCTCCCATAACTAATACTATTTCTTTTCTTTTCTTTTCTTTTCTTTTCTTTTCTCTCGTAATTAATATTATCTTCTCCTATCTATCCAAACAAAGCTAAATGATGGAACTTCAATTAAAATTTGGCTCACTAAAATTGTTGGATCTCAACCTCACATGCTTTAAGTTAAAGGAAGTCAATTATATTGTAAAGAAGTGCATTGCAAGTCATGATAGGTTAGGCCTCATCAGACTGTGTATTTTTGGTCCATTTTTAGATTCACCAATACATCACATTCTTCTTCATATGGCCCACTCAGTGACCTAAAAACACACCCCCTAACCTCCTCCAAGTAAGCAAGGGGCTGAAGAGAACTGCAAAATGTGTATATAAATCTAGAAATAAAGAAGCCACTTTCTGAAGTATTTTATTATAACATAGAAAGGTCACCATGAAACTTACTTTCATATTTTTTTAAATGAAAATTTGTAGTTGTCATCATCATTGCTCATCATTGTAACCATTGGCATCATGCTAAAATTACATTTTATACAAAGAGGCATTCAATTTCTAAATTGTTGTGAAGGTACTTTTTATGGGCATGTGAGGTTTTTCTTTATTTTTTTAAAATTTATTTTTATTTATTTATTTTTTACTTTCTTTATCCTCATGCTTTGGGTAATACTAATATTGCAAGGCATGTACATGCTTTTTAATTTTGTGGTATCCTTATTCTTTGGGTAATACTAATCTTGTGCATGCCCTTCTTTCGGAACTGTAAAAATCTTTAGTTACATATTGGTATTCCGACTCGACATCATTTGAGTGAGATTTTGGAGAAAATAATACGATAGAAAGTTGTAAATTGTATTTTGAAAAAGTTATTGTCTATTATTAACTCATAGGGATTGTCTCAAGTGGATAAGAACTTGACCATGATACCTTACGAAATATCAAATTTAAGGTTCGAATTCTCTTGAATGCAAATAATTCCTAGTGGGGGGTGGAAGTTATTGTCTATCATTTTTGTTAATGAAAAATTATTATATGGTTCGGAATCATATTATCAGGAACTAAGTGTCCCGACCAATCAGAAACTACGTTAAGATCATGTGATCCCGAATTATATAATAATTTTCCCTGGTCTATGGTTAGAATCGTTAGATAGTCCAAAAGATCACATTGATTTAACAAGACATAAACACCTTGAATTTTACTTAAATTGGGATTATTTTGGAGAAAATAATGCAATAAAACGTTGTAAATTGTATTTCGAGAAAGTTATTGTCTATCATTAACCCGTAATAATTGGCTCAAGTGGATAAAAACTTGGCCCTGATAGCTTATGAAGTATTAGATTTAAGGTTCGAATCCTTCTAAGTGTAAATAATTCTTTAAGAGAGGATGAGTACCAACTAAAAAAAAAATAATTATGTCCATCATTATTTTTATAAAAAATTGTTACATGATTCGGAATCATATAACTTAAAACCAGATAATCCCTACCAATTAAAAATTAGATTGAGACCATATCGACTATATAAGTGAGAAAAAGCATATTGAATTTTCCTTAAATGCAGGAGGATTAGTGTTGGCTCGAGAATTGAGTTTGTGTGATTGTTTTGACATAACATTAATGCCTAAAAGCAAAAAAAAAAAAAAAAACATTAATGCCTAAAAGCAAGAAGTCGAGTACTTTCACTTTTAAGTGAGCCAATAAGGTACTCTAACTAATGCTGACTTGGCGTACAATGAATTTGTTGTGTGTGTGTGTGTGTGTATAATACACACACATTAAGTTATGGTCAGCTTTCTAAATTGAATCTTTTGTTTAAAAAAACACACACGAAATAGAGGACTACTTAGTAAGGAGTATTTTTAAGAGGAAAAAAAAACTATGAGAAAAATCCAATCATCACTATTATTTATACAAATAATATTAAAAAAAGTATGTGATTGTGAAATTTAAACAAGTCAGATGTATGTAGTATTATTTCGCTTGTAAATAATTTTTTTTTCAAATATCATAATAAAATCATGTCAACATATTTGTTTCAATGTACTAAATATTATTATCAAAACAATTAGAAATTATTGTATCACTTTGTATTTTTTTTTTTCTTTTCAAATATAAACTAAATCCAACCTAATAATTCCACTTTAACCAATTAATCTGAACCTAATCAGAATATGTTTTGAGTTTTTGTTTTGTTTCTACCATTTAGGTAAAGGGCATTTCCGTCACAATAAATTATAAAATTGGTAAGACCTTGCGTTCAAAAAAGAACAGTAAATTAACCGTTAAAATGTTTTTTTTGAGGAAATATATCTGTCTGTGTGTATGTACTGTACTCAATATCCAGATATATATGTACATACATACATGTCTGTATATATGTGTATATATACTTATTTGTCCAGAAAGTATATTATTTGAAGGCGTAATCTCTTTGATATCATCGTTAGGAATTTGAAGAGAGGAGAGAGAATTTTCACGGAGCGTTTTCACATAGAATCAAAAGTTAGGGTTTTGCTAAATTGATTTTGGTTCATTTACAAATTCAATATTAGATAATTTGATTCGACAGATCCCGACGACGACGATTTGGTCTCACAATTGTTTATTGTTGCCTGAATCTGGTACTCTCTCTCTCAATACGACTATACATGTGTTTTATCTTCTTCAATCCGTTCTATTTCTAAAATGTGACAAAATCGTTATATTTTCTTTTTCTTGAAATTTTTAGGGCTACAGTTGAACCTGCCTGCATTTGACGATTATGATCAAATTCAATTGAATTTTAGAATTTGTGAATTTGAATCTCTTTTGCGTCCGACCACTTTCATGCGTTGCTTTGAATTTGATTTTTCCCCTACTTGTGAGTACTTTCCCTCGGATTAGTGGTTTTTTTTTTCATACTTATTATTCTATTTTCAGATGCATGATCTGACAATCTGTAATGGTTATCTACGTTTTTGAATTGCTTTAATTGGTGATTGAAGCATTGATTTCTAGATCTTGAAAATTGGCTCCCCAACGCCGATCACAGCGCCACATGGGTGGCCAGATGCAACAGAGCAATGTTGCAGCCACTGCTCTGTACGAGCACCCCAGTGGAGGGGCCATGCACAATGTGGGTCCCGCCAACGATGCTGGAGATGCTGTCATGGCACGGTGGCTTCAGTCTGCTGGGTTGCAGCATCTGGCCTCGCCCTTGGCTTCCACCAGTATCGACCATCGCCTCCTACCAAACCTCCTCATGCAGGTAACGTAAATGTTGCCCTCTACATTGCTCAAGTCATTACCATGCCCATTTTCTTATTTCATATTTTTCTTTTTGATGAGTGTGCAAAGCTGGTTCTTATTGGGATGTGAAGCCCAAAGCTTTACCATAAAGTTGATATTGCAGTGTCCAATTCAATTTTAACTCAATAATGCCAGTCACTATATTTATGTTGACATTGCCTGTTGAAGAGAATGCAAGACTGATTTATTTAGGCATGCCATTTTTAAAGTTTGCGTTGTATTTCACACCTGATATATATATATATATATATATATATATATATATAAAATTCAATCAGTGTACATGGTTAATTAAATTGACCTTTCTAACCGTTGATTGTTTAATGGGTTTGTGGAGTAGTGTTTGCATCATTAGTAAGTTTAAATGTTGTGCAGTGTTTTGTTTATATAATTTAATGGTATTCAAAACTTTATGAGATACTGAGGCAGTTTGTGATGCTGCATAAAGGGTTATGGAGCGCAATCTTCTGAAGAGAAACAAAGGCTTTTCAAATTAATGAGGAATCTCAATTTTGGTGGAGAATCTGGTTCTGAGCCATACATTCCAACTGCCCAAAGTTTGGGCGGAATAGCCACATCAGATGCTTTCTTCTCTCCCGAGTTCAGAAGTGATTTTGGAGCAGGGCTTTTGGATCTTCATGCTGTGGATGACACAGAGCTTCTATCTGAGGTATGCAAGCACATGAAATTGGCTAGGAAAACTTCTATTGTACTGATGCCATGGAGTTTTGATGCAATCAGTTGGAATTTTTTTTATATATTTATCCATTCATTCATTTTTTTTGGGGGCACTGCGTCCTATTGAAAGGTTTAGATCAATTGCCTGGAGTTATAGTATATAATATTGTTTGAATTGTCTTAATTTTTTTTTTCCCTTTTTTGGTCAAGTAATTGCTTTTCCTTGTTATACAGTAAAATGAATGTTGTATTAAATAAAACCTGAAAAACAAACAATAGCTTTCATTCTATTAGACACTTTGAAATATTAGTTGCAGGAAATTTAAGAAGTAATTCAAAAAGAATGCATTAAAAACCTATGCATAAAAGTCTAATTTGTGGAAGTACTTCTTCGTCGTATTACAATAATAATGTTAATCTTATTAAACTCTCAGCGCAGTTGTTAATTAAATATATGTATATTTTAAAATAGAGAATTTTGGTATGGTGTCTTGACATACAGATAATTATGAAGATTGAAGGCTAAAATCTTTCTCACCTCAAGTGGTAGGAGAACCCAAGTAAAGGGGCAATGTGTGGAGTTGGCTGCGTTCGAATCTGATCCTTGGTACTCATATAAACTTGTATATATAAAATATAAATGTGTCTATCTAGGAATCTTCTGTAGGAGGACTTGATGTTAACATTTCCACATGGAACCACCTTCAAGAAATTACATTTCCCCATTGTTAGGACAATTATGCACGTACGTGTATCAAACAAACGGATGCAATTTATATAACATAAGAAAAAATCATACCATTGAAATAAATTATCAAATAAATATATCTATATATATAAAAGCATCTAGATATAACAATAGCAGTTTTTTTCTCAAATCTATGTACCTTAAACAAATTAAAATATTTAGCATTCTCCTCACTGATATGTGACTTCTCTCTCCTTTATATTCTATGTAACAATAGCAGTTGGAATTTGTTTTCAAAACAGTTGAAATCTGTCTGAAATAGGAGTGTGTGTAAGAGAGTAGGAGATTTTTTTGAAAGGAAAGATTGCATAAGAGAGTCAAAAAATAGATTAAGGAGAATAGATAGAGTCAATTTTGCGATTTATTATAAATAACAATCTATAACTATCAACCATCGCCTAGTTTTTGTAAACAAATTTTTTTTTTTTTTTGATAAGTAATAATAAATTAAAAAAGGCGTTCAATAGGGGAACGCGTCCCATAGACATAAGAGAAACCGGGAACTAAGGCCCCAAAGAATCCCAAAAAGAAATTAAATCATCAGAAGAGGAACAAGAACTTCTGTTCACATAACTGAAGAGATAACGAATAATAAAAAGTTTCAGTGTTGCTGTAGACGACTCCTTTTCTTCAAACATTCTACTATTTCTCTCCTTCCAAATGCACCACCAAATACAATGTGGTACAGTTCTCCAATAAACACTCACACTCCTACTCACACGACAACCTCTCCAAGCATGAATTAGCTCCTTAGTAGAACGTGGCATTACCCAATACATGCCAAATAGCCCAAGAATAAGATTCCAGCAGTCGTGCGCTACAGAACAATGCATTAGGAGATGATCGACTGACTCCCCATTATGCTTACATATGCAACACCAATTAACAAAATAATTTCTCCTTTTTCTCAAATTATTGATCGTCAGAATCTTACCCCAAATGGCGGTCCATACAAAAAAAGCCACCCTATTAGGAGCCATAGAGCGCCATATAGTCTTCCATGGAAAATCATAGGGTGCAAAATTAGACAAACATAAGAACAAAGACCTTACTTCAAAACGACTGTGAGAAGAGGGAATCCAAATCAAATTGTCATAACTCTTGCCAATTCCTTCCTGCCGATACAATTAATCTAAGAAAATGCTCACATCTTCTAACTCCCAGTTCTGAAAAGAGCGCTGAAAAAGAACATTCCACGTAATTCCACTATTATCAAGCTGATAACAGTTAGCTACAATGGCATGTCTTTTAACTGCAATACTATATAATTTGGGGAAAGTACGACATAAAGGTTGATTCCCACACCAAAGATCTTCCCAAAAACGAACGTGACTACCATCACGAACTTTGAATCTAACATGAGGAGAAAAGGCATCCTATCCTTTCCGAATGGATTTCCAAGCCCCAACTCCTCCTGCAATAGAAACCGGACGTGTAGTCCATCCGCAAACATCATCCCCATACCTGCAGGAAACTAATCTACGCCAAGAGCGGTGTCTTTCCTTCCCATATCTCCATAGCCATTTGCCCAAAAGAGCTTGATTAAAAGGAATCAATCGTCTAATGCTGAGACCCCCCAGTTTTATAGGCTTGCAGACTTGCTCCCATCTAACAAGGTGATACTTGAACTCTTCTCCCCTTCCTCCCAAAAGGAAATTCCTTTGAATTTGTTCAATTCTATCAGCAACGGAACATGGAATTTGGAACATAGAAAATAAGTGGGAAGGCTTGATAAAGTGCTCTTGATAAGAGTAACTTTACCCCCCTTTGACAAATATTGCTTCTTCCAACTTGCCAACCTCTTTGCGTACCTATCAACCACAGAATCCCAACTTTCCACTAATCTGGAAGAAACCCCTAGGGGCAATCCCAAGTAAGGGATAGGAAAGGAACTCACCCTACACCCAAGAACTGTAGCTAGAGAAGAGATGTCCTGTACATTCCCGATCGGAACAAGCACACTCTTGGCCACGTTAACCTTTAGCCCTGAGACTGCCTGAAAGCAAGCCAGAATGCATCTCAAATATCTAAGTTGAGACACATCTGCATCACAAAAAACTAGAGTGTCATCTACAAATAACAGATAAGAAATCTCCACCTGATTTGCAATATCTCTTCCCACCTGAAGTCCCTTGATGAGACCTAGATTCTCTGCCCAACGCATAAGTCTGCTTAAGCCCTCCATAACAATAAGAAAAAGAAAAGATGACAATGGATCACCTTGTCTTATACCCCGAGAGCACCTAAAAAAGCCGGCTGGAGAGCCATTCACAAGAATTGAGAACTTAACAAACGAAAGACATGTCGGAATCCATGTCCTCCATCTACTTCCAAACCCCATTCTTTGAAGCAAATAGAGAAGGAAATTCCAATTTACATGATCATAAGCTTTTTCAATATCAAGTTTACACAGAACTCCAGGAACACCATTATGCAACCTTGAATCCACACATTCACCAGCGATAAGAACTGAATCAAGAATTTGCCTTCCTCCAACAAAGGCATTCTGGGAATCTGAAATAATCCCATCCATAACTTCTCACATTCTTTGAGCAAGCACCTTAGCTATGAGTTTGTAAATACAACCCACTAAGCTAATAGGACGAAAATCCTTAATATCTGAAGCGTTTCCCTTCTTAGGGATGACGGCAATAAATGATGCATTAAGCGATATCTTAAATACACCTGTAGAATGGAACTCCTGAAAGGTACTCATCACTTCATTTCTCACAGCCGCCTAACTTTCCTTCAAGAAATGCATAGTAAACCCGTCAGGCCCCGGGGCTTTATCCCCATTGCAATTGGATAAGGCCTCTAGAACTTCTTCTTCAGTAAAAGGAAGCTCTAGCCCATCTCTCTTCATCTCAAAAATAGCCTCAAAAGGAAGACCATCAAGCTTGGGTTGCCAACTTAAAGGTTCTGTATAAAGCTTCTGATAAAAAGAAACGATCCCGCTACGCACCTCTTCCTCCCTCCACAACTCCACGCCTTCTACCCGTATACGTCCTATGTGATTACTCCTTCTATGGGCATTAGCAAGTCTGTGGAAAAATTTTGTGTTACGATCTCCCTCTTTCAGCCAAAGAGCCCGGGATTTTTATCGCCACGAAATCTCCTCCATACAAGCAATCTCAGCAAGAACTGCCTGACAGGAAGCTCTTCTAGTACAAAGAGACTCCACATTCCCACCCGCCTCCTCTAGCCGATCAATCTCAGAAAAATCAGCAAAGATTCTGTTCTTCCTCCATTCAAGGTTCCCAAAAACATCCTTATTCCTTTGCTTAATTAGAAGTTGGTTTAGAGAATGTATTTCTTGAAGGTAATATTTTTTTGAGTTGAAGAGGTGTTTTAATTTAAGAAGGCAACTCTTTAAGAGCTGTTTTCAGTTTAAAAAGTGACTCTCTAGGCAACAGTTAACAGGTTTTTTTTTTTTTTTCTTTGTTTCAATTTTAAAAGATATTAAAGTGTATATAAAAATTAGAAACTCTATACGCTTTTAATAAGAGCATAAATAGATATAGATATCAATCAACAATTTTATTTTGGGGTGGCATAAAATTTAATGTCTGTTAGAGTTAGTGCATTCTGTTTCCTTAGAATATTTTGCGTCATATATTCTGCTGATTTTTAACTAGGTGAAGGAAAATTCAATATATGGATTTAGATAAAGTAGAATGTTTACATGTTCTAAGAGAGGGTATAATGACTAAACAGGACTTAAAACCCACCCCAAATAGCTTGGATTGTTGAGTTGACTTGAGTATTTTAATACGAATCACCTTGACACCATGTTATAAGAAAATTATATTTCTTGGCATTGGCAATGTAAGCATAGGTTTCTGCCTCTGCCAATGGTTTTGGCTTCATCTTCCCAAGAAATGCATGTTCGACCCTATTATGTGGTTACTGGCATTTAAATTAAACTTCTATTGGAGCTGTTGTCGAGGTTCTAACATTCTGTATGTGATATACTTTCAAGATTTAACACTTATGTAATTTACTCTAAACACCATTTAATGGTTTAATTATTTGAACCAGTATAATCCTTTTTGGATTATTGTAATTTCTAGGAATCTAGGTATTCGGTGTGGCCTAATTGAGTTTTACTTGATGAATCATATCTGCCAGAGTCTATTTTCCTCTTTCTTTGGTTCAACAGTTTTCTCTCTTATATTCACGTCCCTGGCTGCTTTTGAACTTGGTTGTCTTCTTCTTCTTCTTCCAAAATTGTAGGTCTATGGATTTGGATATTTGAGACTGATTTTCTTCTTCTTCTTCTTCTTCTTCCCCAATATCTGAGGTATGACGAATGATATGGGGTTCCTGTTAAGGCATATCTCCTTGGCAGAAACCTCCTTAGCAATTTGGAGGAAACATAGGAAAGTAATATTTTCCCAGATTCTCATTCTATTCTGGGGAAAATTGTTGTAATGGTAGTGTCAGACCCTTCTTTACAGTATTTTTTGAGCGTGTCAGACCCTTCTTTACAGGATTTTTTGAGCGAACCCCTAATCCTGTAATCTGTGAATAAGTTGTTGATCAGTACTATTTTTCTTAATCATTTAATTTTAAAGTTCATTTATGCCTTGACATGTCATGTGCTAGTGAGCAAAAAGATAATTATGCTTGTTTGTGATCATTTTTGAATGGGTATATAATTATACTGTTCAGCTGTTGTATGTAGACTGTACAATTTGGATAATTGTTTGATAATACAGATTTGTTTTATTCTGGATGTCCTGTTCTGCTGTTACTACAAAATCCACCATCTGTAGATAGGGCTGCAAATGAAATAAGCTGTTCACGAACAGAACAGCTCGGGCTCAGCTAGTTAAAAGCTCGGCTCAGGTTCGTTCATTAAGTAAACGAGCTGAGCTCGAGCCTATTTTTCAGTCTCATTTGAGAAACGAGCTGAGCTTGAACAATGCTGAGCTCAGCTTGTTGGGCTCGTGAACAAGCTTGTTTAACAAGCCCGTTATATTTCCTATTCTAATATTTAAGATTCTGGCCATATATTATAATTTTAGCCCAAACTTACATTTCAAGCCCACCTTGTTAAGGCCTGTATAGCTAATATACAATATGAGCCACTAGATTGTAATATAATCCAACAAACGTAAACAAACCCTACTAAAAAGAGATGCCATTTCTCTTGAATCCCTACTAACAGCTGACACCCGTCTCCATTGTTCTTTCAAATCTCTTGCTATCCTCTCTTATGCCAGTTCATGGGGTTCTTCCTCGTATCTATTATATCACTCATATTTTATCTCTTTCTCTTTCATCTTTGCCGCAACTTTGAAGAAGACCTGCAAGTGCCATATTTCGCCAGACAGATTACAGGCGTCAATGGTGGTTGAAAAATCAAAAGTTGATGGAGATCGACTACCACAGGACAAGATATTTTTCATCTTCTTTATGTTTATGTATATATATTTGAATATGTTTAAAAATCTGTATCAATATATTTCTATGTGTATATACATGTGTGGTTTTATACATATACTTAAATATTTACATAAATGAGCTTAGCCCGAGCTGAGCCCAAGCTTGACTGAACAATGACAAGCCGAGCCTGAACATAGCCTAGCCAAGCTCGCCCGAACATGAGCCGAGCCCGAACAAGTCTTCGAGTTTGGTGAGTGCCCAAACAACCCCATGCTCGGCTCTGCTCGGCTCGGGTCATTTGTAGCCCTATCTATGGACTGTACCTAGGAAGGGAATATTTTGTACCTATTGGCAGTTTTAAGCAAAACTATTGGTTGTTCTCCTTTGTGCATATGGCATGCATAGAATGTCACAGAACAGAAAAGAAGCATGGGGAGTGAGATCAAGTTGTTCATTTGTGTAGTAAATGTACTGATTATGTGTTATGTAGAGTTTCATTTATTGGCATTTGTTTTCTTATATCTGTTGACAAATGAGTAATGATGAGAGTGAAATTGCCTATATAATAGGATTCTAGAATTAAAAGTTGCAAATGAAACCATTTTTGCCTGTTCTTCCTCTTTTTTTTTTTTTTTTTTTTTTGGTTTTGGGTGGTTCTATGTTAATTCTGTAGTTTTCTTTTTGTGTGGATATGATGAAGTCTATCTCAATGCAAATGGAAATAATCTCAATGCAAATGGATATAACAACAGAATTTTCTGTTTGGGCCTTGGGTTACAGAAAATTCTTCTAAAGTTATATTGAAAGTGTATATTTTTGTGTGTGTATGTGTGGGTGGGGTGGATGCGGCTGAGGTATAAAGTATATTCTTTATACCTGAATTATCAAAAAATAAAAAAGTAAAAAATAGTGGATATTGATGAGTATTTCCTATCTATTTTATTCTTTCATCCTTTTAACAGATCATTGTTTTGTTTTCCCTTTTCAGCATGTTATATCAGAACCATTTGAGCCATCGCCTTTTATGCCTGCTGTCACAAAAGCATTTGACAGTGACTTCAATGTGACAACCAGCAGGCAGCAAAAAGGGCAAACAGATACTGATGCTTCAGTTGGATTACCAATAAATGAAAAAGAGAACAATACAAGGGAAAACAATGTGGCTAAGATCAAAGTTGTGGTATGTTGGTTCTATTGGCAATAAATGCTCTCTCTCTCTCTCTATATATATATATATATATATATATATATATGTATGTATGTAAGTATGTGTGTTATGTTATAATTTCTTCATGACATTTAAACTGGTGGTAGATGTGCGTAGATCCTGTTTAATGTTGGAATGTGTTTCTTGAAAATAATTAAATGTTTGTGGAGCAGATGATCCTATATGGAGATGTCCAGCAAGTTTTATATGTTTGTGAGGAGCCTCTCATAAATGCTGCAGGGAAATTTTTTTTGTTGCATGTTAGTGTGATATTTAATTCTTTTTTTCTAAGTTAAACTGTTGCTACTGGCTTACCTACCAAGATGTAGCTAAAATGTGAGGCTTAAATGTTGGAGAAACTTGTGACATGTTTTCTTATGCTAAAGAGTTCCTGAAATATGAAAGTTGAAAGTTATTACAAATGTCATGATAAGCTTGTAGAAATGTATGAATACCATGGCTGGTGTTACATAAAATGAGAGTGATAAAAGCCCTTTTGATTTTGTCCAACAAATATACATCATTCTCTCTCCTCTTTATCCCACTTTTGGATGGAAGCAAAATGGTGGGTTCAGAGGGATGCTTCATCCCTCCTTTCGTCCTTCCTCTCTTCCTCTCCCCTCTTCCCAAAAACAGAAGCTTGCTCCATCCCTCCTCCCTCTTCGTTCCCTCCAACCAAATGTAGGCTTAATATGCATTTATATTTACGTTGCAGCTTGCGCTTAGGTTACAGGAGACCTTGGCGCTTTAATGCGCCTTGAGCTGATGTTTCTGGTTTATTCGAAACAAGCCCCACCCTTTCCTAAAACCACTACAGCGTTATTTGGTGAATTTTTTTTTTTTTTTCTTTTCTTTTCATTGACTGGTTAACTATCATGAAGGGAATTGATTTTGTAATCTTTGTAGTATACTGGCTATTACTTGGTGCACTGAAAATTTTGGACCAACAAGCATGAAAGCGTAGATTCAAGCCTAAAAGCAGCTGCTTTGTGCAAAATAATGTCAAAGGTTTAAGTTTGTCCTAAAATATTTCCCTCATAGCACCCTACATAGGTAGGACCCGCATTGGGCAATAGCTTTTATGACGTAGAATTTTCGGAGAGGTGGCATGGATCCGACAACCCCCCTTGTGTATGATTGTCAGTGTGAAAATTATGTACATTTGTTGTTTGGGTGATTGTTTTCTTTGTATATATTGATGGCTCCATATTAGATTTTTACTTTTACATTTTTTTCTGGCCTTACATGTCCCAAATCTTCTTTAGATAGGTTAATCATGCAAGCAAAGGGTTATGTTTGTGGTATTTTTACATTTTTTATATTCAGGAACTGCTAATTTGTCAAATGATTGAAATTTATATAAGTTGAGAATTGTTCACATTGATGTTTGTATCAGGTGCGTAAAAGACCTTTAAACAAGAAGGAAATTGCTCGGAAGGAGGAGGACATTGTGACTGTGTACGACAATGCTTATTTAATTGTCCATGAACCCAAGCTAAAGGTCTGGATAAATCTTAGCTGCTAATAAGTCGGTAATTAATAGGGTAAAATGCAGAAAACCCCTTGAATTATCACATTTTGGCATATTACCCCCTTGAACTATCAATTTGAAATTATATTGTTGCCATGGATGCCTTTTGTATTCCTTTGGGAGTGCTACCCTCCTTTAATGAATTCTTACTCAAAAATAAATAAAAAATTTCATTTGGCAAAAAAAAAAAAAAAAAAACCCTGAATTATCAGTTAAGTACTTAATTCAATGTCCCCCCAATGTCTGTTTTCCGTTAAGTGCTGTTAACGGTTAGTGAAAGTAGTACCAAAATACCCTTGAAGAATAAATAGGAAAAAGCAGAAAACATGGTGACATAAGTTAGATTACCTAAATGGCGTTGTTCAAGTGGCTATCACTAGTAGGAAAATATCGCTATTGCCGACAACACTTTGCTGATTTTGGTTAGACGATTTGGAGCCGATTTTTTATGCACAATTGTGAATTATTCTAATGCAATGGTACACGATTTCATTCTCTGTCTCTCTCTCACAAAGAGTCTCGAAATTCTTATTGAAGTTTTTTGGGAATAAAGTAAGGGTTCTATATTCTCGTCATGGTGGAAAGTTATGGCTTTTAGGTTTATATACACACACACATATATGTTCTGCTACACAATCTCAAAACTTAGGCTCCATTTGAAAACTTGGATTTGATGTAGTTCAAGACAGTAGCGCTGCCACGGCAACTGCCGTTGCTAAGGCAGAGCGTGGCTAAGTATGTTCCTCTAGAGGGAATGAAGAGCAATTACAACTGCTGTTGAAAACCAAAATTGATTACTATCACTGGCATATGCTAAGTATGTTTCTTGAGCTTCCACTATGCTTCAAATTGTACTCTTGTGCACAGATGCTTTATTGGCAAAATTTGAGGCATAAATAGAGTCCTCAAGCATGGGGCTTAACTTTTATTCACCAGGTCTTACCACAAAGCTCTAAGCACCATGAAAGGCTAGTTGAGTGTGTGTGTGTGTGTGTATGGATTATATTTCGGTGATGTATTTTGTTTCAAGATTACTTCAAAACTACGAAAGGCAAGGTTAAGAAATTATTTCAATATCCAACAACAGATTCAGAAATAAGGGCTTCCTTGATATATATATATATATATATATATATATATATATATATATATATAGAGAGAGAGAGAGAGAGAGAGAGAGAGAGAGAGAGACCCTATATTCTATACAATTTTTTGTTCATTTGCTGTTGCTTTTTGACCGTTCACGTGTGATCGTTGAAAAGAGACAGAAGTGTAGAACCGCCAGCCATTACAAAAAATTAATACAACATATACTTCGACTTTTACTGTTTCTATTTTTACATTATTTAATTAGGGGGGGGGGGGGGGGGGGGGGGGGGGAATTTTACGAATAGTTCGGAGGGGTTTCCTGCCAAATTGATAGTTCATGGTGTAATATGCAAACGTGATATTTCTTGGGATTTTCTACATTTTACCCTATTTGTATTTTTCTTTGTTATGTTCGGTGGGATGAACTAACTTTTCGTTTGACATGAAAAAGGTGGACTTGACTGCTTATGTGGAGAAGCATGAGTTCTGTTTTGATGCTGTTCTAGATGAGCTAGTAACCAATGATGAGGTAAAATCTTCATTTATTTGAGATTTATTGACTTCTGTTTTGATATACAAAATAGGTCATGAAATTTATGTCAGTCCTTATATAAGCTTTGCTTGAATTAAGAGTTAACTTTGTCCTTTTTCCTTTTTCTTCGTAAATGAGTTTCTTCACTCGTGATTGTATGGTTAAAGTTTTTTTTTTTTTTGTTTTTGTTTTTTTGTGCTTACTTGAACAGGTATATCGAGTTACCGTAGAGCCAATTATCCCTACCATTTTTCAGCGAACAAAAGCAACATGTTTTGCATATGGTCAAACGGGTGTGTAGAAACTTCTTCACTCTTCCTTATTGCACTTTCAGTATGCACCATCAACTGCAGTTCCTGCTTCTTGTTATATGCTTCTCAAAGGAAAATATATTTTTGATGAAATGTCAAATTAGGGTTGTTAGGTCATTGAGTCATGTGTTGGCAAACACCTAATATATATTACCTGGACTTGGGTGTGTGTAGTGTTTGATCTACTTGAATCCCAAATCTTAAGCTACGTGGACACGTGTCCAAAAATTGGATACTGTATGTAGACACGTACTATGCATTTAAATGCATTATAATTTGATTTTTAATATTATTGTTATACAAGAATATACTCAATTATTGCTCAAATTAAATGGAATGTGATAAAGGAAAAGGGTTTTTGTCATATCTGCTATTAAATTTGAGTGTTTTCTTCTTCAGCCATGCCATGTGAAGGATCGGGGTATCAAAGCTCAATGTGTGTCAGACACATGCGTCATGTCATGTCTAACAGATGTACATAAAGAGAAATAAGAGGGTCCATGTAACAAAGTTTCTAATTGAAACTTGGTTATTAGTGTTTCAAAAGTCACGAGTCATTTATCTACAACCATAAGAAGATGATTGACATGAAGATCAACAAAGAACACGTTGAAAATCTCTTAAGCTCAAACACTTTTTTAGGTTAATGGTAAATGAGATCTTTGAAACATTTTTGACCTAGATTTGATCTATGCAAGGCTTAAAATTTTGTTTTAAACATATTCTCAAAATTAGAGTTTGATCCTAAGATATTTTAAAGAATATAAACAAGTCTTAAATTGGGAATTTTCGCAAATCAATCGACAATTTACCAGAATTATTTTATTTTATTTTTATTGAAGTTCAGAATAACACAATTGATTGTTGGATCGATCAAAACCATGACGATGCCTCTCATAGAAAGTTCGATCTATCAAAGTATTGGCTGAGTCACTTGATTGGTTCATATGTGCAGAACCATATTTTTGAAAAATCTTACCAAACATTTTTTAAAAAGGATTTTACATAATTCTGTGATTGTTCCCTCACTGTTGTAGGTTATTTGTTAGTTTTCTCTTGCGTCTTGTGATTTTGCATCATCATTATTAACTTTTTTATATCTTGGATTGGCCTCTGTACGGTATGTATATGAAGAATTTCCCCAGTTAAGTTACAATATATTGCATTTAGAAATCAGGATAAAATATAGGAGCTCGAGAGTCAGATATCCCATCCAATGTTTGTTAATAGTTATTGGTAGTAATGCCTATTATGCCAATTCTTTTATCGGTATCACCCAGATTTGTGTTTTTTTTTTTTCTTCTTCTTCTTTCAATCTCTTTTCTTGTCTCTCACTAAAATATATTGCTTACTGATGTATCATTTTTCTAAATATTACAAAGAGATAAAGAAAGGGGTGGGAGGTGTAATAGGCATTTAGGCTCTGCCTGGTTTTTAGTGAAATCGTTTTTATGTGAAGTCTTTGTCTTGATAAGAATAATTATCAGGACTTGGTATTAAGGGGATGTTACTCTATTCAATTCTGAAGCAAATTGGGAAGATGTGAAATAAAAAAATTATGCTTAATGAGGAAACTATATTTAGGCAAATGGCCTTGAAGGGAAAACTTAAGAAATTTCAGGAACTGTTCTTGGATAAAGAATGCAACAATATTAGCGAAGCCTTGTGTCAAGACTAATTAAGTATCAATCTTTTAATGTTTCTGCAGAAGGTTGACAATCATGCAGTGCAAAATTTCAAAAGCTGATGGATAACTACTCATGGGCAACGAGGAAGTTTTATCTTTGTTGTCTTGTTAGATTAGTTTTTACTAATGAAGATCATCAATTTAATAGATTTGTGGTGGTGTGGGGGATCTGTAGAACAAAAACTAACTATTTGCAGCAATTTGCATCAAAATAAAATGAAGGCACTTTGTTTCAATATTTTGATTTGGTTTGATTCTTACTGCTGCTATTGCTTCTACCTATTCTTGCACCTGTGCCAGTTCTTAACTATAATTTGGAGAATAAAATGCTGCCATTTTTAACTTCAGGGAGTGGTAAGACGTTTACGATGCAACCATTACCTCTGAGAGCTGTAGAAGATCTCCTCAGATTGTTGCATCAGCCAACTTACCGCAGTCAGAGATTCAAGTTGTGGCTTAGCTTTTTTGAGATATACGGCGGGAAACTCTTTGATCTTCTCAGTGATAGGAAGTTAGTGTTTCTCATTGATTTTGGCTTTTAATTCATCATTTTCTTGTCATGGGATCTTGATGCCTGTAACTGATTAAACAGATAATTGATACGAAGGTTTTGAACATGTGCACATTCTAATTGACAATAATCTCTCATTCATTCTGGTTTCTTTGTTATATTGTTTTACAGTCTGTATTTACTCCTACCAAGAAAGAAGCATGGGTTGGGGGGACCTCTTTTATGGGTATACTTTTTGGCAAAGTCGAGGGAGTTTTGGTGGCAGACCTGATCTTTGCCACTAATATATTGTTACAAGTTTTGTGGAAGGGTGTGATTTTTTTAGTCAGCCTACTTCGGGCCTTGAAGTGTTTTGACTGGATCATGATGGTGTTAGGTTTTGAATTCTCCGTAACGCTAGTCGTCTGAAAGCATTACATGTGCTATGTCAAACATATGCATAAATAAATAGTGCATGTGTTTAAGATTCTTTATACATACTGGCATACCTACAAACACATTGCATTTATATGTGTTAATTAGTGAACATAATGCATCTGTAAATGCTTGATGTGTGCACAATTATACATATTGACTGGTAATAACCTTTCATTTTTCGCAGGAAGCTTTGTATGAGAGAAGATGGACGGCAACAAGTTTGCATTGTTGGACTGCAAGAATTTGAAGTTTCAGATGTACAGATTGTTAAAGAATTTATTGATAGGGGAAATGCAGCAAGAAGTACTGGCTCTACTGGTGCCAACGAGGAATCTTCAAGGTCACATGCGATTTTACAACTTGTTGTTAAAAAGCACAATGAGATAAAAGACTCCAAGAGGAACAATGATGCAAATGAGTCTAAGGGTGGGAAGGTTGTGGGGAAGATTTCTTTTATTGATCTTGCTGGTAGTGAAAGAGGTGCCGACACAACTGATAATGACCGACAAACAAGGTATGCTTTCTGCTAATAATAGTAAAATTCAGAAATAGACATGACTATCTAGACATACATTTTGTTATATTTCAATAATTTTGGATTTTTACTACAATAATTTGTAGCGATTTGATTTTTAGGTTTATCATCTAGCAACTATCTTTACAATTCTCTAATAAATTTCCATCTATTTTCTGAAAATTGTACCATCTATATTTGCTTTATTATTTGATGGGTAGCCCATGGCTTTGTTCTCTCTGGCTTGCCCCTAGTGCCACACTTCCAAGTCCTAAGTTCTTTATGGTCATCTCTGTAGCTGTAATGACCCTATACTGGGACAATCTCATTGCATGTGGCGACATCCAATTGGACTACAGGTGGACAGCGACTTGATTTCATGAGATCCCCACATTGGCAAAGCACTGGCTTGCCCTCACCCTTGAACTATAGATAGACTTGACTTTACATTTAGGTTGAGTTACTCTCACCTTTCACCAGATGAAACTTTTTGAAAAATGACTTTGACCTCCCCTGTCAGAGTTAGAGCTGTTAGGTGAGTCAACCGGTTATTAAAAAAAAAAAAAAAATACTACTTTACCCTCTTGTCTAAATATCATTAATTGCTGACGTTTTGATGATGTAATTAATATATTTTAGATGGACAAATTCATAATTCATCTCTCAGGGTAGCGCATGACATTTCATTGGCAAGAAACACACACACACACCCACTTCGCCCTTTTGGGGACTCGAACCCTCACCATCCACTATGGGAGGTAGAGGAGATACCACTAGGCCACAAGGCCCTTGGGATCTATTTAGGGTTTTATTCTTATACTTCCATTTATGGTTTGATTAGATCATTTATGGTTTGATTAGATTCAATTTCTGATTAGAAGAAGGAGAATTCCAATCTGTTGCAAAATGAAGGAAATGTCTAGATTGGAGAAAAGAGAGGAGAGAACTGAGTGGACAGCACTGGTTCTCCCAATTAATTGAAAAGGACTGTGAAGAATATTGCAAGCAAGCGAAAGACATACTTGTGCTTGGTGCTTTTTCCTTGAAGAACAGACCCAGGATTCTTTCTCATATTCATATATTAATTATTCACTGCCAAAACCAGATTTTATTTCTGATTCAGGTCCATAGCAGCTACCCAATCTACTAATTCTTACTTTAAGTTGAAGAATTCGACTGTGTTTCTCCCTCTATTTTTCCTCAAATCCAGAGATCCTTAGACCTGTGTATAAGCACATACATATGTGCATATATGTAGATATAGATTCATGGAAATCAGTGAATAAGGGAATCCGTATATGTATAGATATATGTATTTAAGTGCATTAATATATGCTTATGTATAGAAATATGCACTATATATTAATAATTGTAAATCACAGAGGAGGATAGAAGATGGATTAGCTGTAAATTGGGTTTGTAAATTAATTTTGTAAAATTAACAAATTTATTTGTAATGTGTAAGTACAGACTAAATACTTTATATGATAAAGCATTGTTTTAATTTTAGTTAGTTTATAAACTTTGCAAATTCAATTTCAATGCAAATAAAATAATGTATGTATTTATATATAATTTTAAAGTTAATATGCTAAATATGTCTAGAGGCCCTATTTGGCCTTGTGTAGTTCTCTTGGGATGCGCTCCCCTTTTGAGTGCTTTTATACAATTTTACTTATTAAAAAAAAAAAAAAAAAAGTTAATATGCTAAATATGTATTTAATATGTTAAGATGCATATAGATGATTTTTACTTATATATTTATTAATAAATTAGTATAAATGGCTGGGTTATGGCTTGAGGGCATTTTTGTCATATCATTATGTGGGTATAGCAGACAGTTCAAATAATTACAATGTTAATTTTGTAATTTAGTTGTACTCAAGGGTAATATTGGTACTTCACTCCAATTCTACGGGTCACTTAATATCAGGGGCTATTTGTGATTGCCAAACCACGGGATGTTGACTTCATATTTGACCAAAGCTTCATCTATGGGTGAAAAGTCCAAACCGCAGGGAGATTGGGGTTATTCATCCATACATTTTAAGACTGACCTCATAACCCCATACTAAAGTAAGACACTATTAACTAGAGTTCAATCTCTTTGGACTTGGGCAATCCTAAAGGCAAGGCCCTGAACTCAAGAAGTCTGGTGACTTGACACTGCCACTTCTCTGTGTTTTACAAGTTAGTCTGCATTTCCACCTAGCTCAGTCAATCTGAGATATCCATGGCATTACATTAATGTCTTCCGATCCTACTCGAGCACAAGAACTTTTAAATACAATGTAACAGTTACATGTGACGTAAAACAATTCAACACTTCGATAAATGGCAGAAGATGACTCAATTCAAAATTCTTCAAAATTTTTTTTTTTTTTTGGTTGGGGTGGGGAGCTATAAAAATATATTGCAGTAAATCAGCAAAAATGGATTAGAATAGAGCTGTGAAAGGCTATACAACAGTTTAATAGAGCAAAAGCAGAGCACTGATTGATTCTTTAACAAACCCAGAAATTAACAAAGAATGAAAAAAATAACCAAAGCATAGAAATCACTTTGGCGTAGATTGTAGAGAGTTTCTAGTTCAAGAGACAGAGAGAAGTCTACTGGCTGAGTGGTTGTTGGTCTCATATACAACAAGATTGTGGATAGAAGATGATATCCATACCTGTCAAGATCGAGAGTAAGTATTTGAATTGGCTGCTGCTAGTTAGAGACAGAGAGCGAGAGATGATAACACAAAATAGACTCAGATACTACAGAGGGAACTGAGAACACTAAATTGATAGAAGGATCATCAGAATTCAATCCTAAACAATGAACAATTCATCATCCACTCCATAATGATTCTATCCTTGTGAGATATTAATTTTTGGGACCAGTAAGGCTCTTATGGACTATGTGATCGTACAATTTATTTATTTATTTTTTTTGACAAGTACGGGACCATATAATTTGACAATCTGGGTCATTGTTTTAACAACCATGCTTACATCTTATAACTCACATTCTACAGCTTCTAATCTGTTATGCTTATTGGCTGGATTTACTATTGCCAGCTTTTGTGTTCAAAATTTTGCTTTAATAGTGTTTCACCCAATTGTATGATCTCTTTTTGTTCTATCGCCTTTTGTATATTAGTTGTTCAATATCTCTACTCATCTGGTAAATGATATGAATATATACTTGGTATTGCATTTATCTGATACTATTGTTCTGGTTCATTGCAGGATTGAGGGAGCTGAAATCAACAAGAGTCTTTTGGCTCTAAAGGAGTGTATTCGTGCTCTTGACAATGATCAGATTCATATTCCATTTCGTGGGAGCAAACTTACTGAGGTGCTTCGTGATTCCTTTGTTGGCAATTCAAGGACTGTGATGATATCTTGCATTTCTCCAAATGCTGGTTCATGTGAACATACACTTAATACTTTGAGATACGCTGATAGGTATGTGCTTTTTCAGCTTGAGGCTTAATAAAGTATATTACTTGGGGCTAATTTGGTACTCGCTTCTGTTTTGCATTTTTGATTTCATATGGAGTAGAAGCAGTGCTTTTCTTTTACTGTGATTCATTCTGAAACAGAAACATGTTGCACAATGTTTCAAAGCAAAAAATAAAAATAAAAATAAAAAAATAAATTTTTTTTTTGAGAGTTTGTAGTAGAATATGGTATTTATATTACAGAGTTTTTTTAGGAAGTTCCCGCTACAATAGCGCTAAAACAAGTGAAAGCGATTTTATTTCTTCCGAATTTGGATCTTTCTCTAAAGAATATGTGGTACTGTGCAAAATGCAACAATTACCAAACACGCTTTCATCACTTGTTTCTATTTTTCACCGGATGCACAACAGAAACACAAAACAAAATAGTTACCAAACAGGCCCTTAGCCTTAGTGATTGTATGTATCATTTTCTATGTACTTTGCAGCTGAAAGATAAGTATCAAATGAACAGGGTTAAAAGTCTTTCCAAAAGTGGAAATGTGAAAAAGGATCAAGTTGCGAGTTCATTACCACCCCCTAATAAGGAATCTTCATCTGCATCATCTTTTCCCGTTTCTGCTGACGTGGAGGATGTTTATGAGCAGCATCAAGAAGTTAAAGCAGTGGATGCAGGTAGAACGGCTGTAGAGAGAGAAAATCCTGTTGATTTTGGCAAACAACCTTCTGGTTTTCCATCAAAGTATCCCTTGAACGGGCGGGAGGAAAGCAGTGTGACTTCTGGAACCGCTGAAAAGGAGAAGGTTGAAATGAAAAATACTTTTGGTGGTTCTACAACTACAACAACCGCCACCAAGCCTTCTACAGCTCAAAAACTATATTCATCATATTCCCAAAATTCAGTTGACACAGAAGAGAAAATGCAGAAGGTTGAATTGAAAAATACTTTTGGTGGTTCTACAACTACAACAACAACCAAGCCTTCTACAACTCAAAAGTTATATTCATCATATTCCCAAAATTCAGTTGATACAGAAGAGAGAGTGCAGAAGGTTGAGATGAAAAATACTTTTGGTGGTTCTACAACTACAACAACAACAACCAAGCCTTCAACAACTCAAAGACTATATTCCCAAAATTCAGTTGATACAGAAGAGAAAGTGCAGAAGGCGTCATCACCTCGGAAGAGAGCTTACAGGGATGAAAAATTGGAAAAGCTGGGAAACTGGGTGAGAAGAGATGGTAGTGGATTGGAAATTCCTACCCCAAGTTATAAGCAGCAGAATAAGAGCAATTCTGATGAAAACAATGTGGGGCCCAAGCAATATGAACCTGAACCAGCGCTTCATGATGGGAATATCAATGAAATACTTGAGGTTGGTTAAAAATGTGGCATTGTGTATTCGTTCCGTTTAGTTATAGTAGAAGCTTTTTTTGCTGTACATTATCGTTCAATCTTCTTATTCCGTTTGCACTATGTAGGAAGAAGAGGCCCTAATTGCAGCCCATAGAAAAGAAATTGAAAATACAATGGAGATTGTTCGTGAAGTAAGTGAACTGTTCCATCTTTCTGCCCCTCTTAGGTTTTACCTTTTTCTGACATTAAGCTGCTTTGATTGTAATACTTTTGAACTTTGTCATTAGGATACATTTTGGTTTTGTAAGGAAGTAAATGATATAACTTTTTTTTATTGTGTTTGAACTGGGCCTTATTTAGTTTCTCATATGACATATAGAAAGATTCTATTTTCATTCTTTAGGAGTTTATTAGTGTGTTCAATTTCATTTTTAATAAAATGACATGAATGATTTTTTCTGCTGACTGCTCCATTTGAAAGGGATTTACCTTTTAAGTGCTTTAGAGAGAAAATGCACTATAATATATACAGAGAAACAATTAGAAAGGAATTAATTATCTATATAGGATATCAACGCATGCCAATTATCAACCCAGCACTCAGCAGTGTTTTGCAAAGTTCACCTGTGGATTATCTATTGTAGGATGCCATGGTTTTGCGAGTCTCATAAGAGCTCATGGTACTGTATGATTATAACCAAGTAGTCTTTTGCATTTTCCCAATAATTTTCGAGGAGCAATGGTTTGCCTATTTTTGCAACTCTGTTCTATGGATCTTAAACTGTGATTGCTTATTTTTAACGTGGATTTTTGACTAGTATCTGAAAGATTGATTATTGTTCCTCCTTAATATCATTTGCTTCTCAATTAAAGTCGAAAAAAGATAAGAAACAAATAGGAGGGATAAGAGTTACTGTCAGAAGTATATGGTAATTTTGTTTGGAAGTGCTTAACCTCTTTGGGTATGGATGGCAGGAGATGAAATTGTTGGCGGAAGTAGATCAACCAGGAAGCCGCATTGACAATTATGTGTCACAGTTGAGTTTTGTGCTCTCGCGCAAAGCAGCAGGTCTGGTCGGTCTACAAGCTCGCCTGGCCAGGTTCCAGCATCGACTAAAAGAACAGGAGATACTGAGTAGGAAGAGAGTACCCCGTTAAGTACCTACTTTGCCTCTCTGATGAACCAAATGGCATAATCACCTATTCCTTGTGTATCTTACCGAAATACATCACTGGAAAATCTGAATTTGGAGCAATTTGTGCAATTTTCATATTCTGTTTTTGTTATTTACCCCGGTGCTGAAGCAGGAAGCTGTTTTTCAGTCATTTTAGGAGGAGGAACCAAAGGCACTGCAGAGCTCCACTGTATGTCTGTCTTGTATTCAAGCGATTAGCGGACCGCATCCAGACTTGTGGCTTAGACAATCATGGTGGGGATTTATGGCTGTTGGTGGTGGTTGTTTGATCAAGTGTAATAATATTTCAGATAAGTCTGATGTGTTCTTGTCGAGTCCAATGGGTTTCTTGACTTTGGCCTTTTGATGGTGACCCTGTATAATGTTTCCATAGGACATATGTTTCAAGAAAAGAAGTGAAAAAAAGACAGTTGATGATTTCCATGACCTCTCACAGAATTGCATTTGTTTTTTATTTTGCAAGTATTTTGGTTTGTCTAGCACTCGATTTGAATCGTTTGTATATAAATGATTTGCATTCAAATAGAACCACAAGGCTATTGTCCTTCCTGTTAATTAAACGTCATTCATTGTGTTGTGTTGAAAACAATCCAAATATGCTTGGCTTCTCTCAGAAAAGATCATCCAATGAATCAAATCATTCCTAACACTGAATGTTAAATGCGTCAGTTGATTCTGAGACAACACAGGAAAATATCCGAAAACTCGGAACATGATATAACTCAAACAGGCTGCGTTGGAGAAGCTATTTTTATTTTCTTGTGACTCCGCGACGATCAGAGTAGACATTGAATACCAGAACGAACACCAAGCTCAATCAGAGGCATGCTTCTCAAGTTCTGTTCTTGAATCTTGTGATGGAAAAGCCATAACTCGAAAACAAGAGATGTATCCATCACATAATTTCCTATAACATATAAAAAAAAAGCTTAAGAACATCAAAATTGGGTAATGTTTGGAAATAACTCGAAAAATGGAAGAATGAAAGTGAAGAGAGATCATATAGAAGTTAGGCATTTTTTTCCTAACATTGCAACCACCAGCAAATTAATTTTCAAAGTCCCGATGATCGGTTGCTATACTCTTGCACCAATGCACCAAAAAGTGAGGGCTTCTCAAGCAAGCGAGATGGCGTGTCATACTCTTTTGCCAATCCTGTGAAATACACAAAGAAAGCCACAACTCAGAATTGTCTCCAAACATACCAGAAACATCAGATGTAAAATTTACTGCAAAAAATGTATAAGCAACAGAGTAAGAAACATACCGTTATCTATAACCAACACTCTATCGCAGTTTTTAACTGTGGGAATCCTATGAGCAATGCTGATGATTGTACACTCTGAGAAGTCCTCGCGAATGATCCTTTGTATCACAGCATCGGTCTGTGTATCAACAGAAGCCGTTGCTTCGTCCATAAAAAGAATCTTGCTGTGTTTTAGCATGACCCTCGCCAAGCACAGAAGCTGCCTCTGCCCCACACTCCAATTCTCTCCATTTTCGATCACTAAAAAGGTAGAAAAGTTTGGCAGTGTCAGCTCATATTTATATGCATATTTATAGGTACTTTTAAAATGAAAATGATGATCCTGATAGATGAGAGAGGGACCTGCAGCGTCGAGTTTTTCAGGCTTTGCAGCAACCACATCTTTCAGTTGGCAGCGTTCAAGACTCTAGAGAAACAAAAACTATTAATGGTCTAGTTCCGTGCATACATGAACACAAGAAATGTGCATAACTCAGATCATTTTAGTGATGAAAACAGAATAGTAACCTTCCATATTTCTTCAGCCGAATACAGCCCAATAGGGTCGATGTTGCTTCTTATTGTTCCTTGGAAGAGCACAGGTTCTTGAGGGATGATCCCAAGACGAGACCTGAGATCATAAAGGCCTAGCTTGCGAATGTCAACCCCATCAATTAAGATTTTCCCACCACAAGGCTCCACCAGCCTAAAGAAGGCTTGGATCAGAGTCGACTTCCCACTCCCAGTTCGGCCAACAACACCGACTTTCTCTCCTCCATGAATGCTAAGAGTAATGCCTTTCAGAACCAGGGGAGTGTTTGGTCGATATCTGACCTGCTCATCAACGTTTTCGATCAATAATTCATCGCCAATATTAAAATTTAGTGGGGATAAGTCAACTTCAACATTAGCCATGTTAAGAAATACAACTAGTCTTAATGCATTCATTCTTAGTGGTTTCCAAACACAGATTTCAAATATGCTATGTTGAGGTATGGTAATGATGTAAAGTGTATAATCAATATTGATACTAATTTATATCATTATATAAAGTGTATTTTCAGTACACTTCATCTAATTGAAAAAGGGCAATGACCCTTCCTTGTAAAGATCAAGATCAAAAAAGAAAAAGCTTTTGTACTAATGAAGGCAAAGCCCTTTTTAAATTGCATGCCAAATCAGATAGAAATCGGTATTGAAGAAGAAAAAATCGGACTATGTTAAGTTACCTGCAAGTCCCTTATCTCAATGTCACCATGGCTGGGCCAATTGGGAGAAGGAAGACAATCTGTGATCTTCCATGGACCTTCTGGTTGGATATTTATAAATTGTTTTATTCTTTCGACTGAAACCATTCGGTTCTCCACGAAGCAGCTCATAAATACGGTCCAAAACAGCACACCATTGAGGGGCAGGCCATAGGATAGAGATAAGCCAACATATTCTGGCATACAAAATTCTTTATCAGCTTTAGAATAATAGTACTTTCTAATTTCTAAATATGGATAGCTTGGCCTCGACCTTCTACTTTAGAGGGCATTGAAGTACCACTAGGCTACAGCCTTTGGTGACGGGCAATTAGAAGTATGCATATAAAATTCAATATGGAAAACAATAATTTAGCCCTCATATATTCTGAAAAATCTCAGAAGTTCAGATAATTCAGATTCTTCATAGACTGAAATTGTTAAGAGTGGGAGTTGGTTGATCACTGACTCTAGAGAATGTTGACACACACACACACACACACACACATTTCAGAGAAGGGTCCTCATACCTGGTTGAATAATAGTACTTGGAAGCAAGACCATGAACATGGTGGCAATGCAGAGGACAAAGCTGCCAATAAGTTCCAACCGGAATCCCAACCATTCGTTTGAGGCATAATTGTGAAAATCCTTTCGCAAATTCACATTGACCCTGTCGACATTTCCTTGAAAGAACTTGTCCTGCTTCCTGAAGCAGCGTATGATCATAACGCCAGAAATGGTCTCCGAGAAGTGATGGATGATTGGGGCTTTAGTTATTGAATCAAGTCGGGTTAACTCACGAGATGTTGCAAGGTAGTATCCCTGCGCACCAGAAAAAGACACAATCAGTTAAATTTCTAGTGCTTATATTGAGTTTTCACTTCCAAGGAGGCCTATACCATAAGCCATAAGCATAAAGCATGTGTATTCAAGTATAATACTAAATTTTCAATATCTCTAAGAACCAATCTAGACCATTCAAATGGATCATGTGTTAGAATCTTAGATCAACAGAATGAGGCATCTCAATTAGTTCCACCAGAAAATTAAAAGCTTTGGTTCCAAAAGAGCTAGGCCTTTATTGCAACAACTTAAGAAAGTATCACTTTAAGGTGTTTGATCATGGAGTACAACAAAAGGTGATGGATCGATGTTAAAGCAAGAATTCTCATACCCGATACCAGAAATTCAGCCAAGCAAGAGGAATTATGAGGAATATCGTCGGCCAAGCATACTGGCATGTAATGACCACAATACCAAGTAAAGTGAAGTACATAACCAATGTCATTGCCAAAAACAAGGGAATCAGAAAGTCAATGTTGGCTTGATCAGTTGATACCTGAAACACAAAATGTTTGTCAGTATAAGCCATTTGATTCAATTATCCTTGCATTGTTGACATATATTTATCCACTACATACTAATTAAATAAATAAAAAATACAAAAACTCACTCGGCTTAAAATTCTTCCTGAAGGAGTAGTATCAAAGAATGACATTGGAGCATGGAGGATGCTGTTTAGAAGTTTATTGAAGAAACTTTGAGCAGTTTTGAGGCCCAAAAATATGACAAGGAATGATCTGATTACCACAAAAACACATGAAACTGCAGCTATGATCGAGTAAATTTTGATAAACAGAGAAGGGCTAAACAGACGATCTTCTGACGTCTCATATGCAAGCCAGTAGTCACTTGACATAAGAGATGACTGCCACAGCAAAGACATCAGTATGACAGCTGCAACTCCCCCCCATCCATAAGCCTCGGTGCAATACTGCCTGTAGACATCAAAGTTGACGCGACCAGTTTCTCTCTCCTCGTCTTCAATGATCTTTGAAGTGCCTTTTTCAGATTTGGTTTGGTCCACAAGCCTGTTTTCACCATTGGTTTCTCTTTGGCTTGAGGAGGCATGGAGTGATTTTGGCGTTTGTTGGGGATTGTCACTTGTTTCGGCATTGCTCATTTCTACAAGCTCCATTGAGGTTTCATGGGCAGCTACAAGTGCACCAAAATCCATGCCGGATTCCAGAATGTCTTCATACCTCCCGGATTGCACGATCATCCCATTTCTCATTACCTATATATTAGGTATTGCAAATTTATGTAAAGAAACTTACAGAATTATATAGGTTTTTTTTATGTGCAGTCAATCTGGTGACTTGAGGAACATGCAATTGACTTTACAAAAATATTGCCAATTTTAAGGAACTAAAAATCGGAACAATGCATAAAACAATTCATAATATGAAAGGCCAAACCAAATTATGTGGAATACTTGCATAAAACAGAAGTCAAATGAACCATGCTGGTATATTTGTATACTACATACATTTTCAACAATGCTTAGAACGTAGGAAATATGTTTGTGATCTTCGCTACGTTTAGCTAAGAGCTTATTCGATCGATCAGATGATGTATGGTAGATCCCTCCTTGTGAACATTTCTAATTATAACCAATTTATACAACCCATGAATACTAAAAAGAGAAAAATACTTACCAGTATAAGATCAGCGTTGTGCAAGAAGTCAACTTGGTGTGTCACAAGTAAAATGGTCTTATCTTTGAGAGCTCCCCTCACACATTCCTGCAACAATCAAAATTTGTTGAGATTCTTCAATACTTCTAATCTAGAAACATATTCTATTTCCCGAGGCATAAGAGCACTAATTTCTTTTCCATCCATCATAAGATTATATATTGCTATCTAGTTTATCTGAAAGAGTGAAGAAATCATTTATAATCTATTTTATCTGACAGTTATAGAAGCTGTAGAATGTGACAGAATATAGTATGACAGTTTATCACATGATCCAACAATTCCGAGGAATGACATAGAGTTTGTTGCTTTAACCTTGAATATTTCCGAGCCAGTCTGAGCATCCACAGCACTAAATATATCATCAAGAAGATAAATGTCACAGTCCTGATACACTGCTCTAGCGAGTTGTACGCGTTGCTTTTGGCCACCACTTAGGTTGATGCCACGCTCTCCGATCTCAGTCTGGTCACCATGTTCCATCACCTCCAAATCCTTCTCCAAGCAACAAACCCTAATCACTTCCTTGTATCTTTCCCTGTTCATTGGTGAACCAAACAAGATGTTCTCTTGGATGGTTGCATTCTGTATCCACGATGTCTGTGCCACATAAGCAGTTGTCCCACAAACTCTCACCTATGACACCAGAAATAGGCTTATTAAGAATTAGCAACAATCAACATGAAGGGATAAGAATTTCCTCATAATGCTGAATAATTAAAAATCTATTGTTTGCCTCTTTGATACACAACCATTTTCACAACAGCTGATGTCCAATTTGTATAATCAATAATTTTTTTTTTAAAATAATAATAATAATTTGAAAGCCTAAATTATTATGGGTAAAAAGGAAAATAAATGAAGAAGGCCCTAACATCATTGTTGGTATGCTTAAAGAAATGAAATATATAGGACAAAGTGTCATTATTATAATCCAACCATTGGTGACTCAAGACAAACACTAAAGCAACTATTTTTTTGTATAAATTTTCTTAGTGACAGAGACTTGAAGCCTGCAAGTTGAATGAGTCAAAGAAAAGAATAGCATGAAGATCAACACTCAACCCTATTAAATTCAATAGTATATTGTATATTTTGTGTAGTTCCTTGAAGCTAATTTTTTTTAATACAATTTCATGAAATGGAAAAAAGAAGACAAGTAATCAAGAGATATGAAATGTTATTTGAGACACAAAATTTCTTAGTTAACTTGGGATTCTTTGGGCTTAAATACTATACACTTCAATTGGTGGAAGATAGGAACAATTTTATCCCAAACCATGAACTTGAAACCATCAAGTTTCAAGTTAAGGTTAATGGATTATCAGCACAACTTGATACTTCAAGGTGTATAGCTTGTGAAAACACACACAAAATTAGTATGATTGTGTGCGAAGAAATTTTGTGGACAAGACAAGATGATTCAACATATTACCTTTCCTGAAATTTTGTGCAGCTCACCAAGAACTGAAGCCAATAAGGAAGACTTTCCTGATCCAACAGTTCCAACAATTGCAGCAAGCTCCCCTTTCTTGATCTCAAAATTCACACCTTTCAAAACCTCTTCACCGCCTTGATCATCCCATGAAAAAGTCCCATCTTGAACCTCCACGGCTACCTTACCACCACAACCTTCCTCTCTCTCCACTGATCTATTATCCAATTCCCGACTTGTCAAATACTTGTCCAACCTCCCCAGGGAGATCATTGCTTGTGAAATTGAGATAAGAGCTTGAGGAAAGGTCCGGATAGGCTCCTGCAAAATTCTAAAGATTGTTGTTGCTGTGAACACTGTTACTGCATCAAGAGACACTCCCAACAAAATTGCAACCCCAAATGTCAGTGCTGCAACCAAAATTGGAATGCTCCAGAGCACAACCATGTTGCAGGAGATTGAGTACATGAACTTGCTGAGCCATCCGTACTCCAATTCACGAAAAGATTGAATCCTCTTACTGAAGTGTTCCTCCCATGCTTGGAGCTTGATCACGCGCATATTGCCAAGCATCTCATTCATCGCCTTCATCCTGGAATCACGGTTCCTCATCACATTGTACTGGAATATGTTGTTCTTGCGCGTTCTCATCAGAGTGAAGATAAAAACAACAACAACTGCACCCAATGCTGCAAGCATTGAGACACCCATGTAGGCATACAAGAGGGCTAATGCAGCAACAACTTGTAACGGCATAATCCATAACGAGTGCAGCTGCAGCATCATGTCAGAGAGCTGCTGAGTATCCACAGCCATATAGTTCACAATCTGTCCTACCCCATGAGACTGCCTGGAGGAACATGATAATTTCAGCCCCTTTTTGTATAAAGCAGTGATGAGAGTGGACCGGATAAGCATCCCGAGTTTCTGTGACTGGAAATTGAAGTGGTGGGAGCTAAGCACTTCAATGGTTTTCGCAATCAAGAGGGTCAATACTAAATAGTATCCTTCATATGGATTGCTGCTCTTACCAGAAGTGAAATTGACAAAACTTTGGATGAGGACTGGACCGACATACATCACAGCCAACCGCACAATGGCAAGGAAACCTATGAAAACAAGGTCTTTCCAGAAGCACCGGATCAATGTGGTTCCTACAGGGTTCTCTGAATTCTCACCTGGCCTAGGCCAATTCATTTCGAAGAGCTCAGCCATTCTTTCAGCCCTAAGATCATGTGGAAGTGAAGGAACTTCGTCGATCTTTAAAGGGGATTTATATCCCTTACTTAGTATTGGATTCATCCAAAGCCACACAGCTCTAGAGAACAAAGAAGCAGTGGCATAGCCACTCACATTAGAATCCATCAATGTGGATTGGTGAAGTTGTGTTCTTGAGTCTATACCTAATTCAGATTCTCCAATCACACTAATCCCAGATGACCCTTTAATGGCAACAACAAAAAGATAAGCAGAAATGGGAAGACAAGCCAACAAAAATACATCATCCATTCTCATAGTGGGATCTAAATATTCATCAACAGAAATCAATCTGCTGATAGCTGAAGCACTGAATAAACACACCATAACAAAATTTGCTACCCAATAGAGTCTAAGGGACATAGGATGAGTAATAGCTTCAAATTTCTTTTCATGAGCAATCAGAACCAGAATCGAAACATGGGTTATCGCTTGGACTAACCGAAAAACAGCTTCCATTAGCTTCCATTGAGACTGGACACCTTGAATGAAGGCTAAGATGCATTGCACTGTGTATGATATTGCTGAAAAAGCTGTTAAAGTTAGAGATAGTTTGTACCAGATTGTGACTCTGAAACTAGGCTTGTTGGTTCCGAGGAGAGGCTTATCAATGGTGGAAGAGGTGGAACGAGGTTGAAAGATGAATTTAGAACAGAGCTTTTGGAGAGAAACCGCGAAGAGGGTGAGCAAGAAAAGAAGATCAATGGATGAAAAGAGAAGTCTTTGAGGACATGGAGATAGGAAGATGAACCTCAACCATTGGATTGAAACTGAAACAGAAGATGACATATCTGATGAACATGTGGGAGATGTGAGCCATGAAGCAGAGGACATGGTTGCTGATAAAACTTAGAATCAAAACTTGCTTCTCAAGTATGTAGTCTCCTGAAAGAGAAGCATAGACATTAAGAGAAAAAAAATATCAGAAAAATAGAAACAAAAATACGACTTTACATGTATATCATATCATATATTCATATATAGGTGTATCAAATTCAGAAACAGAGATAAAGATTGATATAGTGAGCAGTACATAATAACATGAACTAGACTAAACCAAGAAATGATTGAAACACGTGAATTTAAAAAAAAAAAACATAATAATAATAATCAGATGAATGAACGTGAACACATAAATAAAATCACCTCCTCGTTATTATCAGACTTGTGTACTTTCAGGAGGTGACTAAACCAAGAAATGATTGAAACGCATAAATTTAAAAATAAAAAATAAAAAAATCAGATGAATGAAAGTGAACACAAAAATAAAATCACCTCCTCGTTATTATCAGACTTATTGAAACAGATCAGAGAGGTATAAAATGTTCTGCTCAAAGGGTGTGTAGTTAAGAACAAGACAAGGTGGAAGAAGTTTAGTGACTGACAAGTTCCATTGTATTTTAAGTGAAGAGAGAGCTAAATAAGATGGTGCATTTCTTTAAAAATAAAAAAATAAATGTTGCATTGGAAACGTAGGCTATTTATTGGGAACTAACAAAATAAAATAAAATAAAAATAAAATAGAGTAGCCTTGTTCGGTGTGTCCCATTCATAGCACGGATGACTATTGACTTAGATGAAGAAATATTATTATGTCCCCATCCATAATTAGAGTAAAAAGTATAGCGACGTCAGTAGGGATTCGAAAGGTAAGTTCTTTTTTTGAATCGTACTCGTGATTTGAATAGTAAATGTATTGTGGGGCTGATACATGTGCTCTAAAAAAAAATAAAAAAAATAAAAAAATAATAGAGTAAACATATTTAGTAAGTCCCATTTATAGATCAAATCATGACTCATGAATTTCCCTCCTATTTCGAGGTTCTTGTGAACTTTCTTGTGCACCAACCGATATCGTTTATGTTGCACAAATATAAATTCGAACATGATTCATGTGTCGAGGATTTGCGTTACTTGCTTTGCACTCTATGTTGTGCACTAATGCGAGATCGTTTGTGTACAATACCATGCACATTACCCTCTAAACGAAAGGGAATTATGGTCCTTGTTCATTAGAATTAAGAGAAAATCAGTGATTATGTCAAGATTGTATTTTTTGAAAGTAATATTAATTTACCAAAAAAAAATAGAAAAATAATATTAGCACTCCAAGAAAAGTAGGTGAAACTCCATTTTATTTAACATTCGATATTATTTTTTGAAACTCCCAATATATATGACATCCCATTGTAGTGTAGCTTTTATGTTAGGGAAAATTACGTATAAATGGAGTTAAAGTTCCATATTTACTTAGAGGCTGAGTCAAAGTTCTATATTTCTCTAAAATGGATTGCTGAAGTGGCACATGGTTTTTTACTGTTTAGAAATTGTGATGCCTAAAATACCCTTCCGCGAAGGTACTATTTTTTCTTCGAAGGTACTACTTTTTTGAACTGAAGGTACTACTTTTTGGCGTCCAGGTACCATGTTTTTTAAACACTCGCGAAGGTACTACTTTTTCTCCGAAGGTACTACTTTTTTGAATTGAAGGTACTACTTTTTTGAACTGAAGGTACTATTTTTTTATTAGGGAAGGGCATTTTAGGCATCACAATTTTTTAAACAGTAAAAAACCATGTGCCACCTCAGCAATTCATTTTAGAGAAATATGGAACTTTGACTCAATCTTTAAGTAAATATGAAACTTTGACTCCATTTATGTGTAATTTTCCCTTTATGTTATGTAGTATGCATATAGATCGTTTTGTATTATTTCCTTGAAAAGTGTGCACGAATAACTATGGTCAACTACCATGTATCACTTTGTCTCATTTTCCTCTGCATTTTCCGAAAACAAACACAAAATTAGATCTTGGTATTGTGGAGTACAAAACAATCAACCTTTGGGATTCAGGTCTCCACAATTATCACTAAATCCGAACACATTATTTATGAGTCATATGGTAACGTTTATGTTTCTTATTTATTACAATAAAAAATAAAAACAAATACTAATAATAATATCGGAGTTAGAACATGTTTGGCAGAGTAATTTCTATTTTTATAATTATAATTATGTTTTAAAAATGCTTCAATTCAGTTAACAGAAAATATGCTTGCAACTTCGAAATTTTGACTTCATGGATTGCATCTTTCATTAAGAAGAAAGAAAAGGAAAAAAGAAATAAAATAAAATAAATTAAAAAAGATTGCAAGTGTTATTAAATTGCTCTCAGATCTTTTGTTAATTTCTCCTGCTAAGTTGTTGAAGTTGTTCATTAAGAAGAAAGAAAAGGAAAAAAGAAATAAAATAAAATAAAATAAAAAAGATTGCATCTTTTATTAAATTGCTCTCAGATCTTTTTGTTAATTTCTCCTGCTAAGTTGTTGGATGTTGTTGACTGCTTCATTTACTCTATTTTGGTCTCTTCCCCAAAATTAGAGTGAGTCCAAATTTTGTGTTACGTAGGTTAATTAATTTCGTCTCTTTGCTCTCCGAGATATAATAGTTCTATTTCATTTGGATGATGCTCATTTAAGATGGAACTTCAAGAAACTAGAACCTTCTTTATGCAAAATGAATCTAGATTTAATCAATTATTAGCATTTCGTTGGATTGTGGGTTAGAGTGTTTGATCGATGAATATAATTGTTTAGATGGTGGATAAACACTTGAAAAGTTGATGGAAAATTAGATAAAAGTCAGCTAAAAAAAAAAAAATTTGTTGAAATTGTTAAAGTCAAACAGACTTACATAGGCCGAAATTTTGTGTTTCTTAGAAACAAAATTCATTCCATTGATAGTAAGCATGCAAAAGAGAGGAGAAAATAGCATAAATTAGTCGTTCTTTATTTTTTACAAATTTTTAACTCTCCAAAGAGAGAGATGGAACCAAAGGAAAAAAGACAGGCTATTATTAAAGTTTTTAAATTATAGAATTTTTCTTATAATTAACCCTCGCTATTTTCTTCTCTCCTAATAACTAAATAAAAGAGAAAAAAAACATAATTTATTCCGTAAGATTACTCATTCACCCCTTTTTCCTTTCCATTTATTCAATTTTCTTTCTTTCTACAACACGGGGTACATTTAAAATTACTCCTGTAGAATTTTAATCATTTCAATGATTGATTTGATACTTTGGAGAGGAAACCAATCATATTTTATCACATCAGTTACCAAGTTCCTTCTAATCTGTCAATCACCATACTCGTGTTATTATCCCTCCCACTAGCGAAGGTATTTCAATAATTTAGAAAAGTGCCAGATTAGTTTTAGGTATTTATAGGTGACATGCATGTCTTTAGATTCTCTATTATTCAATTCTTTCAAAATATCAACTATTCTATTCTATTTTCTCACATTCTAAATTTTTATACACATTTTTCACATGCCAGACAAAACTATGTAGATTTGTCTGGTATAAAAAAATAAACCATAGGTTTTTTCACATGCCAGACAAAACTAGTCCTTAAATAATATTTCAAATTTTCCTTCTTCTAAAAATATCTAAAATAGTACATCAATTCTCAAAAGGTCAATCAAATTAAAAAAAACACTAATGGGCAAGATTAAAAATTTCTAGATTCTACAATTTCAAAATTTCTCATGATTACTAAATTTAGAGTATATATGCTAGAAATAAAGCAGTTTTTCAATAAAAACTGCTTTTCAACAATTTCTTTTTGGTTGAACATGACGCCACTTCTTTAATTTGAGCTTATCACTGCCACTATAGTTGGTTTTGCATGATTTGACCACTATAATTTTATTTACAATTTCGTATATAGTCATGGATTTGGAGACAAACAACTGAAGAATAGATATGTGGCAATTTAACCACCTTTTATAGTTTGTTTAATTTTCATGGGATTTTTTTTTAAGACGAAAATGATAGTATAAGAGGTTATGTAATTTTTTTTCTTTCTTTAATTCAACCTTTCAAGATTTTATTTTTTTATTTTTTTTAATGCAACCTTTCAAGATTTAGTAGGAGTATCTACCTTTACAGTCGGGTTAATTTGGTCCGAGTATCATATATTCATGAAATAAAGGAAGTTTTCAAAAAAAAAAAAAAAAAAAAAATTGTTTTATATTATACTCTTTCTTCACTTTCTCTTTTTTCTCTAAAAACAAAAAGTTTTGAAGTCCTTTATGAATATGCATTTTGGTGATATTTTACATATAAGAGATACAAGTAAATTTATGATATTTTTACTGTAATGATCCAAAAAGATACCGGTCAACGGTACTAAAATAATAATAATAATAATAATAATAAAAATTCGGCACGACCTTTACAAAAAAAGTCTTACTACGACCTACTGAAATACATATAAAATGCAATACCCTTACTTGACCTTAAAACTAATATATCATGTCCCAACGTAACGCAAATAATATATAACATTCCCAAAATCAACATATACATATAAAAGAGTCTTGTTCTGCCATTTCATCCAAATATGGAAACACCAGTCCACTACGTAGTCCCATAATTCTTTTACAAAGGACGCACTTTAATTACATCAAGTTACAGTCCATGAAATATAACTAAAATTAAAAGTTTATAACTTACAACATTATACAAATTATACTAAAATTTTACAAAATAATCAAGATTATAGTTACAAAATATTAAAGTTCTAATACAAAAGATACCAAAATATAGATCTCTAATCCCGTTTAAACTTGTGGTGGATCGTCATCCGCCACCTCTTTCCCGTGTCCTGAAAATATTAAAGTAATGGGGTGGGCCAACCGCCCAGTATGAAGTGTCTAAGACACACTTCTTACGACCCGTGAACCCACATAAGGAATAAAATACAAGTGAACATGATCATGCCTCAGGAAGCAAGTAAAAGAGTAATAATATCAACAAATACATACACAAGTCATCTGACTACCAAGTATGCAATACATGCCAATGATATGCCATGCCATGAAATGTTGCTCCCCATTTGTCGAAACGATACAGCTTCACCTTTCCAACCGTTAGTGCAATCCGACCCAAAGTGACTCCAAGGCGTCACGAGAGGAGGATTGACTAACTATCAACGACCACAAGGCAACTCCAAGGCGTCGTATCCGGCCTAGGTAGCTCAACCACAATAGGGTCTCTCCTTAGTCCCCTCTAGACCATACTAACGCTGCGGACCACTAGGCACCTCCTAGGCGTCCGGTTTTTCGCAAACCCTTTTCAAAACATTTTCCCCAAAGGAATTTATATTTGCTTTTCAAAACATTTTCCCATTTTCTTTCTCAATGGAATGCACGAATACATTATGCTTAATACAATCATGCCAATATATATAATTTCCATTATTTGAAATTAATCACAACATGCCCTCGTATACAAATCTAATTCATTAAACATAGTAAAAACATTGCATGTTATGAGAAACATAAAATTTCAGCAATTTATACACATAAAATGCAACAATAAATTTTCAATTTAGCATGCTTTTCCAGATCATTTCAAGAAACAAGTAATTTCAGTCGTTTAGTCATATAAAACATAATTAAACACAAAATCCTCAAAGACATAGGCAAAACAATTAAGTTAAGCATGCTTATACTTAAATAAAATGGGAGAAATTCACCAAAATCAAAGAAGTCATAGATTAGAACACCCATACCTCAATTTAAAGAAAAAAAGTCCCAAATCAGCCCAAGAATTCGAAAACCCAAATTGCTCCAATTGAAGATCGGCTCTAATCAATTCGAAGTCTTTGTCGAGCTCATAAATTTTGCCTTCTACGGCAAAGTTTGAATCCAAAAGAAAATAGATGAAAATGGCCTTGAAAGTGCAAGTTTATAGAGAGAAAATGAGTTTTAGTTAGAGGATGTAAACCTACGCAGAGAGAAAGAAGCAACTGCTGAGAACTCAGCCATTTGTGATCCTAATAATAAGCCTTTAAGTTCATGTGGGGCCCACCCAAGGTAAAAAAAAGGAAAAATTA